AAAGATTTTGACATATCTGTGATCAGTGTGACAATTTGCGAACATTGCGCTCAGTCTCCTTTTTGACGTCCGTATATTGGACGTCGTAAGCAGGTGGACGCCACATTGTATGCAAAATTGGCCGTAGTGGACGTACAATGATTTGCGGGATATATATAATTCATGTGTCAAAAAAAAGAAAATGACGTTGGTATATATATATATATATATATATATATATATATATATATATATATATATATATATATATATATATATATATATATATATATATATATTACGAAATGTATTGCAAAATGCTCTATATATTTTGCAGAAAATTGTTTATACATTTGTTTGTTTCAACACATAATTGTTTCAACAGTGGTAGAGCCACGCGGCAGCTTTGCTGTTGCACGTATGGGCCGGCTCAAACCGGGGTGGTACCACGACCTCACAGAATACCGGCGTGAAGTGGAAGCTCTGCTTCCGCGTTTCGTCTGGTGAGTGCAGGTGGCCGGAGGCCTAAATCCCCCCCCCCCATCAACATGGTAGCGGAATTAAATGATGATAGACTACCTCAGGAGGGTACCAGCACCGCAGGAGAATCCCTCGCTGAGCATCCACGATCATGTTTCTCCACTTCTGAGCGTGGGTGCTCAGGTTGCCCCGCGTATTCTGGGGGGGGGGGGCAAAATTCCGCTCAAGACTACAACTGCTCGGGGCAAACGGAGCAACAAAACCAAGGCGACCCCTGCCACGCTGTCCGTGAATTTCTGCAATATCAGGGGACTTCACTCTAACCTAAACGCCGTCCACTATCATCTCGAGACGGCGAGGCCGGCTCTGCTCTTTCTGACCGAGACGCAGGTGTCCTCTCCGGTTGATGTCTTGTATCTCTCCTACCCGGGGTACAAACTGGAACACTCCTTTGTGCCTTGGGCTGGAGTTTGCGTTTACGTCACAGAGGACATCTGTTCTCGACGCCTCGGCAGACTTGAAGGTTCGGACCTGTCCATCCTTTGGCTACGCGTAGACAGCGACGACCATCCGCGCGTCTACGGGTGCCTCTATAGGTCCCATAGCGGTAATGTCGAAACAGACCGACTCTTCGACCACGTCCAAATGGCTACAGTCGTTGCTACAGCAGATCCCCTCCGCAGAGATCGTGATCCTCGGCGACTTTAACGCCCATCACGCCGAATGGCTTAGTTCACGTTTAACCGATCATGCGGGGAGATCTGTTCATGATTTTGCCTTGGCATATGGTCTGACACAACTGGTTACTTCGCCTACGCGGATTCCAGATGTGGAGGATCATGCACCTTCCCTATTGGACCTTCTGCTGACCTCTCACCCGGACGGATATCAGATTTCCGTTGACGCCCCTTTAGGCTCCTCGGACCATTTACTTGTTCGGAGTGTGGTGCCACTCACGCTGAAATCGCAGTTGCAATCTGCAGGCTGCCGCCGTGTTTGGCACTACAGGTCAGCCGATTGGGATGGGATGCGGTCTTTCTTTGCATCCTACCCTTGGGGGCGGGTTTGCTTCTCGCCGGACGATCCCAACGTTGTTGCGGATTCTGTCACTGATGTGGTACTTCAGGGTATGGAACTTTTTATTCCTTCCTCTGTGGTGCCCATTGGAGGCAAATCTCAGCCATGGTTTGGTCGCTCCTGTAAAATAGCATCATGCTATAAGCAGGAGTGCTACCAAGCCTGGGCTGACGCATCACCGTCCCGGGATGTAAACACCAGCGCTCTAAAAAAGAAGTATAATTCCGCCTCTAGGTCCTTCAAAAGAGTCATTGCCAAGGCAAAGTCAGAGCACATAGGCAGAATTGGCGAGAAACTATTCCGCCTTCCTTCTGGAACCCGTGCATTCTGGTCTCTCGCCAAGGCTGTCCAGGGGAATTTCTGTCAGCCATCTTTTCCATCTCTGCACAGGGAGGACGACTCACTGGCCCATACCTCAAAGGAGAAAGCCGATCTTCTAGGCTCTTTCTTTGCGTCCAACTCGACTCTCGATGACGGGGGGAGTACGCCGCCGACCATCCCGCGGTGTGAGAGCTCCATGCCGGAAGTGCAGTTCACACAGCGCTCGGTTCGCAAAGCACTCCTCTCCCTGGACATCAAGTCGAGTGGGCCTCACGGAATCCCCCCAATTGTCCTGAGGACGTGTGCTCCAGAGTTGGCACCGGTTTTAACGCGTCTTTTCCGGTACTCTTACTCTCTAGGCGTAGTCCCAAAATCATGGAAGACGGCTTTCGTCCACCCGATCCCTAAAAAAGGCGACCGCTCAGACCCGTCCAACTACCGGCCTATCGCCATCACCTCCTTGTTCTCCAAAACAGTGGAGTCCATTGTAAACTACCAGCTCATGAGGTACCTTGAGGATCACCAGCTGATTAGTGACCGCCAATACGGTTTTCGCCGTGGTCGGTCAGCTGGTGATCTTCTGGTCTACCTAACTCACAGATGGGCGGAGGCAGTAGAGTCCAAGGGGGAGGCATTGGCCGTTCGTTTGGACATTGCGAAGGCCTTCGATCGGGTTTGGCACAAAGCGCTTCTTTCGAAGCTCCCTTCCTATGGGCTTCCCGAGGAATTGTGCGATTGAATCACCAGCTTTCTTGCAGATCGGGGCATCAAGGTCGTTGTAGACGGTGCAAGCTCCGATTGCAAGCCTATTAATGCTGGTGTTCCACAAGGCTGCGTGCTATCGCCAACGCTGTTTCTTCTGCATATCAATGATATGTTGCAAACCCGTAACATTAATTGCTATGCGGATTACAGCACTGGTGATGCTCTTTACACCGGCCGAGCCAATATTTCTCGGGAAAACGTCTCCGAGTGCCGGGACAAACTTGTGTCTGAAGTCGAGTCTTTGCTGAACGGAGTCTCGGATTGGGGGCGACTAAATCTAGTCCAGTTTAACCCCCAGAAGACACAAGTTTGCGCGTTAACCGCTAAAAAGAACCCCTCTGTCGTATCTCCTCAGTTTCAAGGCACTCCCCTTGTTGCCTCAGCCAGTATCGGAATCCTCGGCGTCGACATATCGAGTGACGTGCAGTTTCGTGGTCACTTGGAAGAGAAGGCCAAATTGGCCTCTAAAAAGCTTGGCGTGCTCAGCAGAGCGGGACAGTATTTCATGCCGGCACACCGCCTGAAACTTTACAAGGCCCAGGTTCGGCCGCCCATGGAATACTGTTCCCATCTCTGGGCTGGAGCTCCCCAGTACCAGCTCCTTCCACTTGACCGCATCCAGCGCAGAGCGGCTCGAATCGTCGACGACCGAGTGTTTTCCGATCGGCTCGATTCACTGGCATTGCGAGAGATGTTGCATCTCTTTGCATTTTCTTTCGCTTACCAGGAGAGTGCACGAGAATCGATTACACGCCAAATTTAAGCACCACGGAAACCCCCGCCACCACCACATCTGGATGCTTGGCGGTCCACCACTGTACGTTTCAAGAAGAGTTTTCTTCCGCGTACAACCTCTCTGTGGAATAGTTTACCACCAGCGATTTTTCCGGACCGATACACTGACCTTCAAGAAAAGAGCGTACTCCTTTCTAAAGGGCCGGCAACGCACCTGCAATTCCCCTGGTGTTGCGGTTGATCATGGGCGGCGGTAGTCACTTAACATCAGGTGAGCCGCATGCTCGTTTGCCCCCTCTTCTATAAAAAAAAATACATTACAATGCATGTTATCAACATGCATGCATTGCTTACTTACTTAAAAACTTCTGTTACTATCTTTTAATTGTTTACGCATGTCTTAACCATTTCTCAAAATAATATGCTTAAAAGAATTTGATAAGGATATGTAGTAAAAAGTCTTTAGATTTTGAAATTCTAATTTTCTCCAAAATAAGTTTTGCTAACATTATGTAAAATAAATTTTGTTTATATTTTGTATATTGTTCGGTATTGAAAAGCTTCAATAATAATATAGTGTGATTGATATATGCGACATGAAATATTATACAATACACCCTTGTACAATATGTCATGTGACACCCTAATGTAATTTAATCAAATTCATTTATGTTAGCAAAAACATATGGTCAAAAAATTTGTTATAATGTACATTAAATATGGAATCTACTTGACTCCTGGAGTTTACACCTCATTTAAAATCAACAAATAGTAAATAAATTGTATGTTTGTGCTGCTGGCCGTATGAGGACGCTCAAGGTCGCTCAGCGAGCTATGGAGAGGGCTATGCTCGGAGTTTCTCTGCATGATAGACTCAGAAATGAGGATATCCGCAGTAAAACCAGAGTGACCGATATAGCCCAACGGATTAGTAAGCTGAAGTGGCAATGGGCCGGCCATATAGCTCGAAGAACCGATAACCGATGGGGAAGAAAGGTTCTCGAGTGGCAGCCTCGTACCGGTAGGCGTAGTGTAGGGCGACCCCCACTAGATGGAGTGACGACCTGGTAAGACATGCAGGAAGTCGATGGATGCAGGTGGCTCAGGACCGTGCTTTGTGGCATTACTTGGGGGAGGCCTATGTTCAGCAGTGGACTTGTGAAGGGCTGTAATGATGATGATGATGATGATGTATGTTTATGATCGACTCTGAGGAAAACCGTATATATCTTCCGAGATAAAAGACGCTATTAAATTGTGGTTAGCCTGCATATTGCCTTATCACTAAAATATATTGGCAAAAAGATACAGCTCAAAAACTGCTATGTCATTTTTGTTAATTTTGTTTTTTGGATTGCAGCACTTGTGGACTGTTAATATATTTTTACACTTAATCACCATCACAATCAGTCTGTGGACCACCCACTGCTCATCATCATAGGCCTCTTAAGGCACACTACTTAGCCCACTTTATAGCTTCACATATCCAGTTGCTAAAAGTTACCTTCTACAGATTTTCTTTTAGGGGGTTTATTTTACTTTCAGCGTATAATGTAATTTTTTAACATTTTTAGTAAAATTTTATACCAAATTGTAATTTAAAAAAATTGCTATATGATCTTAAATTTTATTTTTTAATTCAGAAATATCAGAATATGCACAGCAGTTGGGTATTGATCCTGAGAGTGAGAGCCATCTCTTGCCCTTGGCACGGGAGGGTCTTATGCAAGCACTTCCACCACCATGGAGGGCATAGTAAGTTACTAATATACATAGAATAGAATTTTTGTATTCATAGCTTAGTAATAATTTACTCTGGTAATTGCTATTGAAAATAATTTTTATTATGCTTTTGTCTAACTCAAATAAAAAAAATTATGATTGGTCCATTTTTATAAGTGTGTCCCCGAATCTGAACTTCAAGAGTTTTTACTCTAAATTAGATAATCATGTAGGATTGTATTCTTTTGATATTGGTATTACTAGCGCAGTTCAATAGCAGCTTTAATGACCCAATGCTGAACATGTGCCTATCAATAGGATACATAGGACCTATTTGCCTTAATCATCAAATTTGGTAGGTAGTTTAGCAATCTCAGTACAAGTTGTATCTCTGGTATTACTCCCCTTTACCGGTCTGTGCATTTACATCTGTTAAATATGAGACAGTTATCTGTTATATATTGACTGCCTTGTTGGTCTAGTGGTTGTAAATGGGGCTGCTGATCATGAGATCCTGGGTTATGATCCTGGGATGAACCAAAAAAAATTCGGGAGTAAGTTTTTCCACCATGTAATGCCACCAGTAGCTGCCTGAAGTCAGAATGTTGGCGGGGTCTCACCCCCGTGCTTAGGAAAGCACGAGAGTACACTATGCTTGTGCATATATTTCAACACTAATCCTGTCCTACCCCGTTAGCTAGTTTCTTTTGAGGCCAGCTGCTAAGGCCTAAATTTGGTCTGGAGGACATTATTATTATTTTGGGGTATTCATAGAGAATTCTCATCTGGTTGGGCTGAATAAATGTATAAAAGATAATGATAAATATACATTAAATATATTATTATTATATAAGGTAGTATAGTGCTGTTTAACATAGTGTTCTAAACGGCAGTGGAATTTTTTCTTCAAACTTAAAAAGTGACACCATCTTAGAGGTAAACATGTAAAGTCTATTTATGTCCCAATAAATAGGACACTTATGGCACTTGAGGGCACAGAAGTGCAACATGAATATGGTAGACATGACTTTTGTCTTGTCTGTGTTTGTGAGATTTGCAGTTCTTTTGGTTGGGCGTTGGCCATTCACTGCAGTCGTCACTTATCATCAAGTGGACAAAAAAGACGTAAATTTTATGAAAAAATACACAGTATTAAGTATTAAAATGTTATTTGAATCAGTATGCACTCATTTTTAAAAATAAAAAATTCAGGATAATATGGTGCTTTCTGTTCACATAATCATATCTTTGGTCAACATTTCTATATGGTATTTGATATCTTAGCAGCTTAATTTCGTTGTCTTCTAGTTTCGATGAGAAACTTCAAACCCACTACTACTATAATGAGGAGACCAAGAAGACTCAATGGGAGCATCCCCTCGACAATGTCTACAGAGAGCTGGTGAAGAGGGCACGGGATGCGTCTATACACGATGACACTTGTGCCTCTGTGCAGGTGAGTTGAGTTGCAGTTTAACTCAGGAGGGCTTAATTCTGATGACAGATCTTTTTAACTTCTCGCTAAGAAAATTGAAAATTTTCAAATTCTTGAAAGGGAAGTTATTGGTTTCACCCCGATTTTCGAAAATCGAGTTTTCATCAGATCTTGTCGTTTTAAGATTCCAGAAAGCTATTCTGACTAATTTCACGTGGACGTCCGTACGTGTGTGTGTGTGTGTGCGTGCGTGCGTGCGTGCGTGCGTGAGTGCGTGCGTGCGTGCGTGCGTGCGTGCGTGCGTGCGTGCGAGCGTGCGTGCGTGCGTGCGTGCGTGCGTGTGTGTGTGTGTGTGTGAGTATGTAAACCTTTCATAACTTTTGAACGTCTTGATCGATTGAGATGCGGCGTTCTAAAGATCTCAATGTGGAATAGATTTGGTGATAATATGAACTGATTCGGACAAGTGGATTTTGAGAATTATCAAAAATAAAAAATTTGTAAAACTGTTTTTTGGAATAACTTATAAACGGCTTTGCCGATCGATTTCAGGAACTAATCAGCTCTTAACCTCAAAAAATGCAGGGATGGCCTGCAGGGTCAACCAATTTTTTTTTAAATATGTCAGTTAATTGTGAATCTTTGTGACTGCTTCACCACTTACAATCAGGTGTGATAGTAGTCAAGTATTGGATAATGATAACTAAAAAAATCAAAATAAGCAGATGTTTTGTTGAGTTTAAGTTTTTTTTAACCAACTTCATAAAAGGAGGAGGTTCTCAATTGTATGTTTTTTTTGTATGCATGTTACGCGATATCTTCGCAGATTGTAAACCAATTTTGATGATTCTTTTTTTATTATATAGGTTATACTTTAAGGGTGATCCCATATAAATTTGGAGAAAAATATCCACCCCTAATAAAAACAAATCTTTTTAGCAATTTGAAGTTGGTTTTTACTTTTTGTTAAAAGTTATAATTATTTAAATATAGAAGATTATTAATAAACAGTATATTACTATAATTACTTGTAAAAATGGCTTGAATTGTATTCATTTCAAGACAAATCCATAAATAATATTGTATGATGGATTTTAATATATGTTCCAGGAACTTCCGACTTCCGAGGACCATACAAAAAACCTAGAACGTGTTGAAACTAAAGTCGAAAGTGATGACGATGACTTATCAACGGACAGTGAAAACCACCCTTCGGACGTCAAGGACGCAACAAACGCGTCACAACGACGCTTAACCCCTCTCGGTCGACCACCACTCCCAATCTCAAGACTCGATAAGAAACTGAGCGACTTACGAATATCGCCATTAAGACGTAGTGTCGACAGTCCAATTTCGCCTAAGCCGGTTCTTGTCAGAAATACTTCTGACAGAGATCTGTTGTGTCGACCAACTTTTGAAAGGCCAAAGATGCTGTTTAAACAACAGTCAGAAATAATTGATCTTAAGATGCATGTACTGAACAGTCCTGAAGATGAACATTTCAGTCCACTTCTGTCATCTGCTAAGATTGATAAAGGATTGCCATTTTCAGGTAATAATATGTTTTGATTATTTTTTGAATTCGAAGGAACTATAGTTTTTATACAACAATTAAAGGCTGTCTGATGGGTTTTAGTAACTTTTAGATAGGCTTATTATTCAACAGTTTGAATCTTCTTCATCATTAGTATTTATGGAGTAATCCATCGGTGAACATCAACCTGACGTGGTGAACCTCTCCCCTTGTTGGGAGGATTCCGTAAAATAATCTCAAATTTAAATATTTCTGGAACCAATTGATTAGAAAAAAAATATTAAACTGATTTTGTGATAAACTTTTAAATTAATGTGAAATTTTCATTTATTAATATGTAAAAGTTTTTTTTAAATATTATAATTTGAATGAAAAAGGACATATAAATGATTTTGTTGACTAAATGTTACCCTCTCTCATATTTAAAATAAAATAAAAATACATTTTATTTGATATTTTAAAGCTTTCTTCTTATTTTAAATTGGACTGCATACATAATCCTTGCGACCATGTACGTTTTTTTATAAGGTGCGACCACTGCAGGGTTAATTCAAAATTGTTGTTTTTATTTTTTGTAAAATATCTGGCCATAGGCTTCTACTCCGTTCACATTTACACCCTATTTTTTTCTAGATGGTAAAAAAGGTCATCCAGATTAATCGTATACAGGGTTATTTCGCAATAACCGGCCAAATTTGCAGAGAAGGTTCGGAATAAGTAATATAGGCAAATGTTGAAGAAAAATTAATTAAAAAAAATTTCAAACATTTTTATTTTTTATTCAATCATTTTTATCTTTTAGTTTTAAAATGTGTAGTAATGCATTATCTGATTTTACTGCACTCGCACACATTTGTAAGAGTCGATCGGTAAGCAAAAAATATTCAATTCGGGATAATTTCAAATAACAGTATGTCATTATTTATATTTTTAAACTTAAGTTTAAAATTTCGCTATATATTCAAAGGAATATTAAGTAATAACCCTGTATACATTGACCTACTGCTAAATGGATGGCGGGTCTAGGGTCTAGTCTTCACGAAAAATGTGTCCCGTGTCAACCTATAGGTATAAGCGAACGCACATGTATAGAAGTACAAAAAAAAAAACTACAACATTCTAATTTGATATTCCACGCCTTAGAACCAAACGGTTTACTGCGACTTTTGTAAGGCGTGTAGTGGAATAATTTGCCGGCGTCTATCTTTCCGTCCGCACACAATCCGGTCTTCAAGGCAAGAGTGAATAGACTTTTGTTACGCTAAGACAGTGCGATTTACCATCTAAGGCTGCACCACCGCTTATCACTGTCAAGCACTGGCTTATAAAAAGTATAAAGTTGAATCATTTCGTCATTACAAAACTGCTCAATTTTATTTGCGACAACAGCCTATTTAATTTCGACTAGAGGCCGCACCATTTTTACTTTATGAAGCTTCTATTGAAAATTACGTTTTACTTGGCAACTTCAAATAAAGGTCAATACATTGTGTACGCTTTTAGTGCCAAGTTTAAGATGTTAACTGTTGTGATTTGTGACATATATAGGTATGTAGATCTCTAGTCAAGATATGCGTTTTTCAAGAAGATATATATTTATGAATAAAATAAAAAATAAAACGTTCTCTTATTCTATTAACATTCAAGAATTATTGTCAAACCTAAGGGAAATTTAAGTAAAAAAAATATCTCAAAGACCTATGATATTTCTGCAAAGTAGAAAGAAAACTGAAAAATCTCTTATTGCAAGAGATACTTAATAAAATTTAGTTTAGTATGTAAATCTTGAGGTCCCAATTGAATAACTCGTAAAGATTTACTAATGCAAAATTAGATAGACAAAATAACGTTATGATATACATAACATACTGATATCCCTATATAGTCAGGCACAATTTTATTTTGTCTTAAATCTGTACAAATAAATAAACTGAAGTGCCTGCTTGTAATGTCAAAATAAGATCTTTTTATTAAATGCATGTGAAGGTATATGTGGTACTTATAATTAAAAAAATAAATATTTTTTCTGTCTATGCGTTTGTTCGGCTGATCTCCGAAATGGTTTAACCGATTTTGGCGGGTCTTTCTCACTGGCAATTAGCTGATGAAATTATTAACATAGCTTCTTTTATTTTAGAACCAAACAGAGTTCCGCGCAAAAATAAATATAATAAAACCCATGATCCAATCGTATCAATTCACGCGGATGAAGTCGCGGGGAACAGCTAGTTAGAAAGAAATAAAAAAATATATGTCAAATACAACTAATGGCCAATCGTCGTGGATTCACAAAATCTTCAAAGTTACAAAATTCTTTACGCACATTTTCATTTTATTCTGTCTTGTGTATAGATTAGAGCTGAAACGGATATCCGGTAGCTATCCGGTACTCGGTCTACCCGGCCTAAAGTTACTATTCGGCCGGATACCGGATTTAAAAAAAACAAAATATCAAATTTAATTAAGTACTTCGTTTATGTCACTTAACAAATATAATCAATAATCACAAAATTTTCATTTTAAAACTTAACAAAATTAGAACTGGTACTGCGCTAAGGCACAGAATAAATAATAGTACTACGTAGCTAAGGGCAAATTATGGTGAATAAATACGAATTTCTGTGCATTGAAAGGTAACAAGCGGTTTCGCCTATCTTCATAAATAAGGCCAGCTTCAGAAAAAAGTATTTCGCTGTACACACTGCTGCAGGGTGCTGAAAGATAGATTTTGGCAAACTTTGATAAATTTGGGTATTGTGTAACAATACCTGCCCATCAAATACATATAAGGGTCACGGTCACGAACAGTTTGCACTGACTTTACTTTTCCACCAAATATCCACCAAATGGCAATGTTCGGCAGAATATCCCGCGGCCGGATATCAGGCTATAAGACTGGCCGAATATTCAGTATCCGGCCAAACAGCTATCCGTTCATCCGTCAGCATCAGGTGGACTGTGTACTCGTTTGCTACCCTTATTCTATAAAAAAAAAGATCACAGGGAATCTGTTAGTAAAATCCGTAAAAGTAGTTTTACGAAATTTGTCGAATAATAAAAATAGCTTTTTAGTTGGTGATATCTAAATCGTTTAAGTTAATGCTATTTTATAATAAACTAGAAGTGACAAACGTACTAACAGTACACCTGATGGTACGGTAACGGTAACGTATATTATATGTGGCACAGCCACGATGCAGCTGTGTAGTTTTAGTTGTAGTACGAATGAGTCTGTTTGGTCGGGGTAGGGCCACGCTCTCACTGAATAACAGCGTTAAATAACAGCTCATAGGTTTTCGTAGGCTGTTTCCTATGGTGAATGTAGAGAACTGGAGAACGTTTTTATGTAAACGAGGCATTCGATCTTAGTCTTCAGGGGTAACAACGTATCTACATTTTTATTCTTAATCCAGAATAAATGATGATATACTGTATATGGTGGTCCATGGACACCTGCAGGTAACTTCATACAACGAAGCCTGCAGGCGCGTTGTCATGTCCGAGGCATAAGATAAAACATCTCACACCCTGTAATAACACTGGCTCTGTATACCCTGCAGACCAAAACACGTTAATGCAATTATAACACCCTGATAGACAGGAGGATTTGCTGGGTGGTTGCACTCCTTTTCTGCCTTCCTAAGATTTTTATAAAGAACATTCACTGCTAGACCAAGAGAAATGCTAAGAAAACATCACTACAACAGCTTGACGATGCTGTGTTTTTAGTTTGGTGAGTGTAGAGAACCGGAGACCGGAAACGAGGCATTCCATCTTAGTCCTTATGGGTGAAGATTCATCTGCATTTTGATTCGTTATCGAGGATAGAAACAGATGTAGATGTCTATGGGTGGACTATATGCTCGTTTGCGACCTTTACACTATAAAAAAACATGCCTTCGTGATAATGGAATAAACAGCCAAATATCCTAAACTAAAAATACCCAGACTTGAGGAAAATAGAAATTTTGTGGTTGGACATTAAAGTTACATTTTTACTGTTTAAGATCGTAGGTGGACGGTTTAATACACTGTTACAGATTTGTTTCTTACTAAACTGTTTTTATTTATTTTAAGGCAAAGGCAGCATGTTTTTAAAGTTCTCGAAGTCGGATTTACCAAGTCCAGACACGGAAAAGTCTCTACCGGCGGACTCTGTGACAAAGAGTGATCCGCCCAAAGGGATACTGCGAGAAAAATCCGATTCCCTCCAGAGAAAAAATGAGAGTGCGATCTTAGGAAGACCCAAGCAAACTGCAAGCTTTGATGAAGATAAGAAAAGCGTCAGGTGGGAAAACATTTTTCCGTTTATATGTCTCAAAACAACAGACTACTACTTCACTGCTAGATGTCGACAATTTCAAAACTACCCCAACAGTTGCCCATTATAATTAATAACAGAGCTGACGTATAAGTTAGCTCAACAACTAATTCAAACAACAAAACAATCAAACAATCTATTTTGGCTGTCCTATATCAAAACCCAGTGAATGACAGTATAAAAAATGTCGTCTTTGACATGAATATAGTAATTCCCTACGGAAAATGAAACCATTTTCAATAAATTTAAAATAACTAAAATTCTTAATACACATCTCAAATATTTTTTTGTATGAATATTAAAAACTTATCGACGATTTTATGACGATGACTTCGATTTCTGTTTCATCACTCGCCTAAATAGTAACGGTGAAAAGATAACACAGTATCATATGTTTTAGATTGGAGTATTCAAAGAGCTTGCCATCCTAGTTCACAATTATTAATATTTTTATGCTGTATCTATACCTATATGTGTATGTATTTTATGTGCAATAATAATGAATCAAGGAGTTAGTTATTGTTACGAGCTTAGTGTCCATGTCAATTAAAAACTGTCGATTGAATTACCAAAATTGACACTTTAATTACCGAACACCAATTGTAACATAAAACACTAATAATTAATCACACTGATCACTTTAGTTCGCACTTCGCAGTGATATCGCTTCGAGTTATTCACTTGTATCGCCAATTCAATACTGTCTCGGGTCGCGGTCTAAACCGGCCTTATATAGGACTTTTTCTACTGAAACATCTAGAATGTTCGAGTACATACCGGTCCGACCGACTAGGTTTAGAAAGTTCTCTCCTAGTTCTGTCACTCGATACTAGATGACGCTAGTGGGAAAGTTATAGTATGGAATTTTCTAGAAAGATCTCCTAGTTCTACTACTATATACTAGATGGCGCTATTGGCAATAATTATGGCTTGCAACACTATCATATCACTTTATTTTACAGTAGGATAATTAGCGCACGCTCCAGCTAATGTGTTTAACATAAGCCTATATTTGATTGATTGACTGCCTCGTTGGTCTAGTGGTTGTAGTGGCGCGACTACTGATCATGAGGTCCTGGGTTCGAATCCCGGGTCAGGCGAAAAAATTAATTATTGAGTTCTTCCGTCAAGAAATTCTCAATAGCTGCCCGGAGTCAGGAAGTTGGTGACATATCACCCCCGTGCTTCGGAAGGCACGTAAAGCCGTTGGTCCTGCGCCTGATCTCTCTCTGGTCGTGTCGGTTTACCGTCCCACTCCCATCGGAGTATGAGAGTGATGGAATAGAGTGCACCTGTGCTTGCGCATACACTTGGGCACTATAATCCTGTCCTGCGCCGATGGCTAATCTCCGTTGAGGCTGGCCGCCGTAGCCGAAATTGGGTCTGGAGGACATTATTATTATTATTATTATATTTGATTAATTAAATTAGTACTTGTTATTTAAAGACTTTATGACCTAAGAATATTTCCTTTATGATGGCCATAACAAACAAACAAACTAAACAAACAAACCTGTTGGCATCTTGTTTTTCTGTTTAAGAAAAGACGGAGTATTACGGGCCACCGGCGAACCGGAGGAGAGTAGTCGAATACGCAGGCGTTACCTTCTGTCAAAGTATAAGTCCACGCGGTCCTTCTATGCGTACAATAAAACTAGTTGCAGCTGCACTGTTCACTAGACTAAATCTAGTTATGCGGCTAAATCACGGCGCCCTAAAAATACCGAAGGATTTAGTTTTTTATTGCACAAAGAGATCAGCCACGTCAATTTTTTTTTATAGGATAGGATGACAAACGAGCACACATTCCACCTTATGGTAAGTGGTTGCTGTGGCCCATAGACATCTACATCTATCCTCGATTACAAATCAAAATGCAGATGCGTTGTCATCCGTGAGGACTTAGGTGGAATGCATCGTTTCCAGTAAAAAGGTCGCCGGTGCTCTACACTCACCATACGAAACACAGTAGCATATTAAGCTACTATTTAACGCTGGTATTCTGTGAGAGCGTGTTCTTTCCCCGGTCGAGCCGACGCATTCGGGCTACAACTATACTACTAATATAACTGCAGCATAGCACTACCACGTAATAAAAAATTACGAAACAATTGCGTAACCTTTGACATATAAGTAATAAAAAATAAAATTGCTGTATGAGAAAAGATGTTCAAGTTGATTGGTTTTTATTAAATCCTCTGTTTGAATTTCAGATTTAAATTAGAAAATGTACCAGAGCCAACAGTCAGTCCAGGATCAAATAGCTCCTCCGATCAGAATGAAGGTCAAAGCTCAATTATAAGTGCACCACCTTCTCTTCCATCATCTCTTGCTCCGTTATCACCTATTGTGCCATCATCACCGGTGGTTCCTTTATCACCAATCTCATCACCCGTGCCTTCAATGATGAATACTGTACATTTGTCTCCATTGGTGGCTCGGCCACCTTTACCTCCGAGGCCACAATCGTCAGAAAGTGCAAGGGACAATAAGAATGTCTCTGGATCTGAGAAAGATACTTTAGGTATGTTTTATCTTTTATTTGTTTTATTTCGATAAAATTACATTTGACTATGTTTATAATGTAGATTGCTTGATGGGGTTGCAGCACTGGGGGCCGTGGGTTTGAATCCCGCATGATTCTAAAAATAATTGTTATGGAGCTGGATGTTTATCCTTGTGCAATTTATGTATGTAAACTGCCTTCTCGATACAGGAAAAAATCATAATGTAATGTTTATTTAAAAATATCTGAAACTAATTAGTATTAGTAGAGATAAATACAAATGTAATCTTTGTCTAAAACATGGAAATTTTTTGGAGATAATATAATTGAAAATTTATTAAAGCTTAGAAAAAGATTTTTTTCCGACTATGTGAAATGTCAAAATAATTGTATGGCTTTCGATACTCGGTATATTATCTCATTTACATCAGATGCAAAATACCCAGGCCGGCGACGGGGAGAAACATGAAATGAGCGAAATGCCTGCCAGCATGACAGTTAAGGCAAATGTTCTTTACACTGGAGAGACCCATAGTGTGCCCCTAGCAGTGGGTTTTCACGAGCCGATGAAGTAGAACCAGATTTAGATTAACATACAACATATTACTTAAGTGTAAGACGATATTATTCATCAGTCTTTTGTGTGTTCTCAGATTGCTATTTTGGAAAATGAACAAAATTAGAATTACATTATAGAAATTGTGTTATTTATTCTCATGTGTTATTTAAGACTAGCTTCCCGCTCTTGCTTTGCCTGGGTAGAGTATACTAATGTGGCGTTATTTATATTTAAGACAATCATCAAAGACCATTTTTTTAACAATTATTCCAGTTCTCAGAAAAAATAACCTCTAAACATATATATTATATTTAAATAATACTAGTTTTCACGGATTTTATCGCGTATATTTAACTTTTTAGATACCTGACGTTTCGAGCACTTTCACTTTCGGTCACGGGGGAGACTGAGATGTGACCGTGACCATGGGTACTGTAAGAACTAGTATTATTTAAATGCGTAGTATTCGCGTAAATATAAGAATTAATATATATAATGTAGCCTGAATCACGCCTGGCATTGCTCTCTATCCATTCTTGTAATTTCATAACAATCCGAAGATTAGTCCGGACAGATAAAAAATTTAAAAATGGTTTTTCATGTCTTAATGGCATGCAAATAACCCATTCAGCTCAGTAAAAACCAGTCACTTCAATATTACAGACAGACACGTCAATTTTATTTATTTGTATACATAAATGTAAACAGTTAAAAAAATCAATGTTTAAGATGGCGAAACTCGAGAGAAATCACCAAGGAGGCGACTCTTGAGACCGCCTGCATCCGACTATATAAAACCAGATCTGTTTCAAAAGAATTTTCAGAAGATTTCCGATCTGGTTCGACGGGGCGAAGTAGATTCTACTCCAGCAAGTTTAGAGGAATCGGTCTCAGATAAAGAAAGTAGACCAAGGTAAGTTTCGTTTAAAATAGACAATATGAACAGAACAATCTTTTGTTCTAGTATTTGGAATATGAAACTGTGAATGTGAAATTTTGACTATTTTATTTCTTTAATCAAAAGTACATATTCTTATAGAATAAGGGTGATAAGCACATAGTCCACCTGATAGTAAGTGGATGTGTATAGTCCTGAGAAATCTTTATTTATCCCTTATTAAGAATCAAAATGCTGATGCGTTGTCACCCCTACGGATAATGATGGAATGTCTCGTCACCAGTTAAAGGGTCGCCGGTTCTCTACACCTACCATATGAAACACAGTAACATCATACTGATATTTTACACTGGAATACTGTGAGAGTGTGCTCCTTTCCCCGGTCGAGCCAACTTATTGCTTGACAACTCATTAACAAACTGCCAAAGATGGCGATTAAAGCCTATAGAGGTAGACACTAGTGTGTAAACTCTCACGGCGCTAAAAAAGAAGAAAGAAAGTAGATTAACAGAACGTATTAAAAAGCATTTACTAGAGTCTGTCTGGGAAAATTAGCAGCAGTATTAATCTCTAAGAGAGCCAGTATAATCACAGATGTGAGGCATTCCATCTAAATTCTCAGACACCGCATCTTTGACCTTCTTTGTTTGAAGTCGTTGCGGCTGTACATGAACTGCAATGACTATCTAATTTTAGTTTTTTTTTATACAATAGGGTGACAAACGAGCACACAGTCCACCTGATGGTAAGTGGTTGCTGTGGCCCATGGACATCTACATCTATCTTCGATTAAGAATTAAAACGCAGATGCGTTGTCGCCCCTGAGGACTGAGAATGGAATGCCTTGTTTCCAGTAAAAAGGGTCTCCGGTTCTCTACACTCACCATTCGAAACATAGCACCGCAGCATACGCAACACAGCAGCATTAAGCTACTATTTGACGCTGGTATTCTGTGAGAGCGTGGTCCTTCCCCAGTCGAGCCGACCCATTCGTGCTACAACTATACTACTAATATAACTGCAGCATGGCGCTACCACGTTTGTCATATCAGTACATTATGTATATACATTACTTGCTTTTTTGGATTATACCTAAATTTCAGTTTTTTTTGCCAGGTCTCCAATGGTACCTCAGAAGAACAAAATTTCAATAAACCTAATGGAGAGCATTGAATCGGAAACTTCAATCGATTCTCCAGATAAAGAGTTTGCGAATATCGATTTAAACGATCTCGATGAATCAAACGAAAGTCATAACGTTCAAAACGAGGCACAAATTAAAAATAATCTTGAAGCGAAAAACAATGATCAAGAAGTAAGCTCTAAAGAAAAGGAAGAAACCTCTGAAACGCAATCCAAAGCGTCAGAGCCCATTCAGAATAGGCCACAATGTCTTGCAAACATTCCCATACCACAAATAAAAGTTCCTAAATTAGACTTTCTGTCAAAACAACAGAAATTCACACATTCCGATTCAGAAGATTCTAGAAAATCGTCTAATAGAGAAGAAGACATTAAAATTACTCCGAGATCGAATAGCATAGATATACCTAAAGATGATAAAAATCAAATAAAGCTGTCTCCAACACCCAGTTTAGGTTCTGATAGGTCACCTAGGTTAGATTTCGGTAAGACATGGTCTAGTCCCTTTTCGACATTCAAGCCACTAAATAAAGCGGCGATTTCGCCCCAAATGAAATCATCAGATTCGTCGACAAGTTTAGGTAAAGGCGTAACTAGTCCAAGACTAGATGGTGTTATAATATCACAGAGTAAATCAAGTTCCGATAACGTAGTCGTGGTTTACCAGTTTGAAACTCAAGAGGACAATTTATCAAAGCCAATTAAGTCCCCTCTTATACCTGATATGGGCACGAGGGATTTTATGGAGAGAAATAAAAATGATGAACGTCGAAGATTAGAGTTGTCTTTGCAGAAAGAGTTAGAGTTAATAAGAATGGAATGGTCCGCTAAAGAGAAGAAAATGAAAGCGGAGTTGCAAGAAGAGTTAAGGGAAGCGGAGGAAAAGTTTTTGACTGAGAAGAGAGTAAGACTTAATGAACAGGCCGAGAGGCATAAAAAAGATATGGAAGACGTAAGCATATATTTGTATTACTGTATAAAAAACAACTTAGAGTATAATCAAATGTGCGGTGATGGTGTAAGAGAACCCATCCCTCCATACTGTATTTTGGGTTGCAGTAAGAGGAGACTGGGATAAACTAAAAAGATTTGGCCATTTTTTTATAGAATAGAAATGACAAATGACCATACAGTCCACCTGATGTTAAGTTGGATTCTGTGGACCTGTGGTGTGTGTGGTGTATCCTCGATCAAGAACCAAAACGCGGATGCGCTGTCACTCTTGATGACTAAGATGGTGTGTCCCGTTTCCAGTAAAAAGGGTCTGTGGTTCTTTAAACATAACAGTATTGGGCTGCCATTTTACGCTGGTCTTCAGTAAGAGCGAGGTCCTTCTCCAGTCGAACCAATCCATTCGTGCTACAACTGTGATATAGTTGTAGCACGGTTTTACTACACATGATGACGTGAAATACCCAGAAGGCCGACGGGCAGGTGCGTCAAAGGTGCGAGGCATTAAGTATTGCGATAATCAATACACCTGCGAAGCGTTATTTAGAGAGCATTTTCATTTATACATTATCAATTCAGAATCATTTTCAACAATCATCTATTAAGTGGACCGATGAAGCATCATCATATTCATGCAACAGTCTTTTAAAGCTCACTGTTGGACGTAGTAAAGTAGCAGCCTATATTCTGCGTAGTACCCTCGGCCTGATCCCGACACAAGCGAGTCTGATTCTAATTATATTCGAAGTCAAGGTAACTTTATACTCCCGAAGTCATAGATAGCACACAATCCATGTATTGTCAAACTGTTCTATTTATGTAATAATAAATCAAAACTGGAATCGAAATAAAAAATATATTTTGGGAGTAAGCTTGCTGATCTCGTCTCAGTTTGAGAGGCTTTTGAAAATCGATTATTTTTGCATATGCATATGTAAGGTCTCCTCACAAAGTTAATTGAAGTGAAAACTTCTGTAGGCACGTTGGGCACTTTTGGAATGGGGAAAAGCACTCATCCTATAATCCCAAGCAGATTGTAACACCCAGCTATTGAAATTAGGATTGATTTTAATTTCAATAGAGTCACGAATCATCCTTGGTAGGAATCGGTGTTATTTTGCAATTATTTATGATCCCATAAATCTGATATAATGGTTGAGACCATAGAATACTATAATACATAAGTAATAGAGCGGGGGAGTGGGCGGAGCCCGTGTAGCCACTAAAATGTTAATTCACACGTATAACTGTCAACACGAGACGTGTTTTGACGTTACAATTGTTTCCGAATTTCGCATGCAAATTATTTAGAAAATGCCAAATTGCACACTATTTATAAATAAATATGTATTAAAATTTAAACAATGTTTTTAATGATGATCTTGAACATGAATCAAAAGTCTAAAATGTTTAAATTTACTCAGTCTGTCAACACAGCGAATCGGGTTTGTAGTAATGATAATACTACGTAATGCTTATATGTGTGCTCCCGACGACGCCGACCCTCGTACAAAATAAGGTTGACAGCCATTCTATTGTGTATTATAGTATTCTATGGTTGAGACTATCCTGAACATGTTGACATACTGCAGACTTCCCAACAAACTACTGAACCAGTCAGTTTGCTTCGTCGTACGTGCGTACGGCAATATAATTTGTCGGCATCCGTTTTTCCATAAAATTAAAATGTGTCTTTTATACTTATTATAAGCCAGTGCTTGAACACAATCCCACATTGATAAAGCTATAGATGTTAAATTGTACTGTTTTAGTGCAAAAAAGCCTATTGACTCTTGCCTTGAAGACACCCAGATTGTGTTCGTACGGAAAGATAGACGCCGGCAAATTATTCCACTTCGTCTTCAAGGCAAGAGCGATAAGATTTGGTTAAACTAAGTCAGTGCGCCTTACCATCTTAGCATGCATCACCACACACTGCTAGGTCTTAGACAGGATCCTAGACAAACACTTGTATAGAATGGTTGAAGAATAAAAAATAAACCGTTACTGATTTTCAAGGCACTGTCAACAGCGGAACGTAATCACGAGCAAATGTTGCAAAATGCTCTGATGGAAATTAAAAAGCGATATCAGAGTGATGTCGAAGCTGCAGAGAAACAGCACGCCGACAACATGGCGCGGTTAAGGGAAGATTATCGTGCTAAATTGGCAGAGGAACGAGAGCAGTTGGAAATAGGTATGTCGACATTAATATTCGGTGGGCACACACAGTTTATTATTATCTTAAGTTGTTATCAAAAAGATGCTGCTGCTCATTTCCTGTTCTCTCTGCCGCCTCTCACGCCGCCTTTACACGGCTTCATGATAATTACTACACGGTAAGTACACATCAAAACATTTATAACTAACTGTTATAGTTCAGTTTTTTGTTTGTAACACTTCTTGTGTAAGTTAAAATAAAATCCAATAGTTTTTATGTTGAATAAGTATAATTTGTACACAAGTCTTTTACAACAACATAGAAGGTGAATAGAGTGATAAGTATAAGCATAGAAAGTTCACATTAACAACACAGCAAATAGAAAGGCTGGAAAGATAGCACAAAAATAAGAAGTCAAATCAAATCAAATAATTTATTTGTAAGACATAGGTAAAAAGTTACAAACTTGGTGGAAAAGGTATGATAAGTAACCAATTAGCACTCATTTTGACAATACGATACTATTTAAATCACTATATAATACTATTTTAAGCCACTGTGTGTAAATTCAACTCAAATTCACGTAGAATTAGCGATTTTTTCAAAAAGTTTTTAAATTACCAAGGTTTACTCAAAGAGTTTCACAAACGCTATGACCATAAACACACTGACAGCGACAGCGCGCAAAGCAGGCGTCCTAGCTGGTGAGTGATTGGACGAAAGTGACAGACCATACATAATCTGGTAAGGTATTTATGCATTTTATTAGTTTAAAAAAGACGAGGTTCACAGACAGCTTCTTCACCTAAACTCTGTGTGTTTTAGAAAGACACATAATAATGTCTTATCATAAGTAAACAGACGAACAGTATGGGTATGGCACACGTAAACGTACTGATGGCGCGGTATGAACAAAAGGAGCTAGGGCGGCCAGCGGTGAACCGGTTTGCTGTTGATGTTGCGTCCTTGTACCGACCGCTGCATTAGAACAATAGCCACTGCTAATACTTATGTACATATAATATTTTCTGTAGTGCTGTCTGTTTGTAATTACGAGATATATATTTATGTAAAAATAATTTTGTTAGGCTTATTTACTCGAGAATACGTACATACACACATTTATGTACAAATGGACATAATTACATTATAGACAAATATTCACAGAACACAAACATACATCAATGCATAATAAACGTACAAGTAACAAATGCTCACAAACACATACATAATACGTATACCATTCCTAATCCATGCTTAGCGTATTTAAAGGCTGATTGTTAACTTTATAAAGTCAGACTGAATAAATCGTTACTAAAGAAAAACTCAATCACTCTTTCTGTCAATTTCAAGTACATCGAACAGTGTACCCTAACTACAGCAACAAATTTAACATTAAATATTACAGTGAAACTATTTAAATTTAATATAAATTGTGAAAGGAGGTAATGATAATGATGATGATGATGAGAAATTAATTGATTAATATTGATGTAATAAGCGAACGCGCGGTATATTTGATATTGTGAGAAAGTGTCGCATGTCTTGTGATAAAGTCGTAAATCCGGAAACGAAAGAAAAAACTAAAAAATTCCACGGACCGTCGATTTTTTAGTTCAGCTTTACGCTGCTATTTTACTCTCCTGGTGAACTGGTTAAGTAGCACTCTTATAACAGAATACTTTTTGCCACGAAAAAATGAGTTACCGCAGAAAATGAACCTAACGGCCTTTCAGTTTCCATGCGATTGGAACCGGCGACAGAAGGTAGTCTTTATAAACAAAAAATACTCACTCGAAGATTTTTTTTATATATTGATAATTATTATTATTGACAGAAAACGAACGAGCCTTGACGGAACTCCGGGAACAGTTACAAATGAGCCTAAACGCAGAGAGAACGCGTATGATAGAAGAGAACAAAGCTACAATAGAGGCTTTACGGGAAGAACACACCAACAGGGTTACGGACTTAAGGCATGACTACAGAGCTGAGGTAAATTGTGTAATTGTAATTAGTTTCGATTTACAATATATTTTCACGTTTTGAGTGGCAAAATAATGACTGTTGTTTATATAAGTTAGTATTTTTTTTGTTTTTCATATCTCTGTGTTTTGCATATCGTAGTTTCCAAACAAGTTTTATAGAATGCTTCATTGCATAATGACTACCTGATTAAGTTTTCTTTAAATTCGTTTTTATAGTTCATTTTAAACAAAAATAAATCTAACATACAATTTGTTTCTTGTGTTGTTCTTCTTGTTGAGTTTAGCTTAGTCAAGTCAAAGAGACAAAAAAAACTGTGGTAGCTGAATGTTTGAGCGCTAAAATGTGCGTTGCAGGTCGTAGTAGGCTGGACGCGATCGACCGATCGACATGCTGCGATGTTGTGTTGTGTTGATTTAGAAGACTCAACAGTTGCTATGGCAAATATGGATGTGGCACTATGTTGCAAACTATGGGAGAGGCTTATGTTCGATAGCAGACTTTTAACAGGTTGCATAAATGCAATAAATGAATTTGTCGTACAGCGACAGCTAAGAATATTTACTACCTCACATAATTTCGTGTGTGTCGTAAGAGGCGACAGAGAAAATACTGAAACTAGACATGTGCATGGGCAGCATCGTCTTTCTGGTAAAAACTGAAAGCAATTAAAACTACTGTAGCCAACCCGTTTGCCAAGCATGGCAACAATGGCGAAATCCTCTAAACGAGGCCTATGTTTAACACTGGACTTTTGATAAGCTGTATGGAATGAAAGTATTTAATTTTAAATTCATCTTTTGGTATACCGACTTTATTTATTCCTTAAGTTACTTGAATTTTTACGTATCTAAACAAAATGTAATGCTAGTTATTTGATGTAGTATTCAAAAACTTTACGGTGCAGGTGGAACACCTACGGCGACAACACGCCTGCCACGTAGAAGAGCTACGCGCTCGTCTGGCCGGCGAACGGGCGGCCGCCGCTAGGGGCTCCACACACGAGCGCGCGCTCGCGGACAAGTACCGCTGCCTCAAGGAGAAGTACGCGCGCCTCAAGCACGACGTCAAGGTGACATGACACTCTCGCACACACTCACTGCTCGGTGCACACACGAGCGCGCGCTCGCGGACAAGTATCGCTGCCTCAAGGAGAAGTACGCGCGCCTCAAGCACGACGACAAGGTGACACGACACGCTCGCACACACTCACTGCTCGGTGCACACACGAGCGCTGCGCTCGCGGACAAGTACCGCTGCCTCAAGGAGAAGTACGCGCGCCTCAAGCACGACGTCAAGGTGACACGACACTCTCGCACACACTCACTGCTCGGTGCACACACGAGCGCGCGCTCGCGGACAAGTACCGCTGCCTCAAGGAGAAGTACGCGCGCCTCAAGCACGACGACAAGGTGACACGACACGCTCGCACACACTCACTGCTCGGTGCACACACGAGCGCGCGCTCGCGGAGAAGTGCCGCTGCCTCAAGGAGAAGTACGCGCGCCTCAAGCACGACGTCAAGGTGACACGACACGCTCGCACACACTCACTGCTCGGTGCACACACGAGCGCGCGCTCGCGGACAAGTACCGCTGCCTCAAGGAGAAGTACGCGCGCCTCAAGCACGACGTCAAGGTGACACGACACGCTCGCACACACTCACTGCTCGGTGCACACACGAGCGCTGCGCTCGCGGACAAGTACCGCTGCCTCAAGGAGAAGTACGCGCGCCTCAAGCACGACGACAAGGTGACACGACACGCTCGCACACACTCACTGCTCGGTGCACACATGAGCGCGCGCTCGCGGACAAGTGCCGCTGCCTCAAGGAGAAGTACGCGCGCCTCAAGCACGACGTCAAGGTGACACGACACGCTCGCACACACTCACTGCTCGGTGCACACACGAGCGCGCGCTCGCGGACAAGTGCCGCTGCCTCAAGGAGAAGTACGCGCGCCTCAAGCACGACGACAAGGTGACACGACACGCTCGCACACACTTACTGCTCGGTGCACACACGAGTGCACACTCGCGGATAAGTTGCGCTGCCTCAAGATCGATATATATAGTTATAGTTGCCGACCTCTAGTCTCCACTTTAAGTAGACCTGTAGTCTAGGCCTTTATCCCCTTGTGTGGCGACCGGCCAGATTCTGGCCGATGGTTAATTACGCGCGTCTGGCAAGCGACCAGATTCTGGCCGATCCGCGACTGCGTATTTGGCGGGTAAAATAACCAGCGACAATGATTTTTATCACACTTTTACTTATAGAAAATTATAAACCAAAGAAAGAGGATGCGATACAAAGCTACTAAAGTACTACAATGTGTAGAAATTTCGAATAAACAGCCTATGTAGCAGTCGCATGCGAACGTCACTTTCATGTGGTCACCCGTCCCGGTTTTTGTCCTTATGTTTATTCCTAAATCGAACAAATAGTGAAGTTAAGTGCTATTCAAACATAGAAGGGTTAATAATCAACAGTTTTTAATTCATAATTTAGGGATATGTATCCTTTTTATAAAAAAAATTCGAACATAAACGGTCGTTATACTTACTTACCTTACATTTATCTCTATTGTTGATTAAAAATACATTACATTCTTTTTAGAAATGAAACTTTGTCTAAATTAAGGACTTGAGCCATACTTAATGTTAAAATTATCGTACGCCACTTGACTTGCTCATTTCTCAAAATAAAACTAACAATATATGCTATTTTTTGTGCGACGCTTGGGTTGCCGTTCATGTGTTAAGATTGTAAAAAACTTTTGAGGTAAAAATATATAGGAATGTGTGGTTTTTTTTTGCTTTTTTATTATAAATTAGTGTATATTGATGAAAATAAATTACATTTATTTTATAAAAGAATGATTTTTATGTTTAATTTTCACAAATTATGCACAAAATACTATTAAAAATTTGGTTTTCCAACTTTGAAATTGGCTTAATAAAATCTATTAAGTTGTATTCAACTAAGATATCTACAGAGTAATAGCAAATAATATAACAATTCATATGACATAAGTTTTATAAATAGCTTCCATACAATATTTTAGAGAAATTACTAATTTAATCGCCACGCGCCGATATCGCAAAATTACCTGCTAAGGCCCTAGCAGACGCGACGTATTTGCAAAATGGCCGGCCGGCAGACGAGGGGATATACTTCTTATTTGAAAAATAAAATTAATTTATAATGATGTTTTTATTCTTTTTACTTTTTGTTTTCTTTTACAGATGTCAATAGAGCGACGCAATAAGAGGCGCGAAATGAGCATGACCACTGGTTCGGAAACTGAAAAATCCAATTCGCACAAAGCTACACAATCTCTTGAAAAGTAAGCCAGAACTTCATTTATTTTTTCTTATTTGTCGATTGAACATCATCATCATCATCATCATTACATCCCTTTACAAGTCCACTGCTGAACATTGGCTTCTCCTAAGGAATGCCACTAAGCACGGTCTTGAGCTACCTGCATTCATCGACTTCCTGCGCGCCTTATCATGTCGTCACTCTATCTAGTGGGGGGTCGCCCTACACTTCCCCTACCGGTACGAGGCTGCCACTTGAGAACCTGTTTTCCGGATCGTTGGGCTATGTCACTTACTCTGGTTCTAGTGCGGATATCGTCATTCCTAAGTTTATCACGCAGAGATACTTCAAGCATAGCCCTCTCCATAGCTCGCTGAGTGACCTTGAGTTTCCTCGTACGGCCAGCAGTGAAGGACCACATCTCAGATCCATAAGTCATCACTGAGATCACGCTGTACAATCTCGATTTCAAGTTTTGAGCTATACCTGATGAGAAGATGTGTGTGTAATTTCGATGCATAGCCGATTTGAATCCGTCGCTTAACCTCTCGGTCGAAGTTGGACTTACCTAGTCGGACTATTTGTCCCAGGTAAACACACTCGTCATCAACTTCGAGTTTAGTAGTATCAACAACTACCGGCATAGGTGTGACATGGACGTTACACATGATCTTTGTTTTATCCATGTTCATCTTAAGACCTATCCGATCTTTGTTTTATCCATGTTCATCTTAAGACCTATCCGATCTTTGTTTTATCCATGTTCATCTTAAGACCTATCCGATCTTTGTTTTTTTATCCATGTTCATCTTAAGACCTATCCGCTGAGAGGCACTATTGATGTCATTTGGCTTAGGTACTCCAGCAATTCTGCCATAAGAACTATATCGTCGGCAAATCGAAGGTGAGTGATGTACTCGCCATTGATGTTAATACCGTATCTTCCAGTCCGGTAACTTGAAAACGTCTTCCAATGTAGCGGTGAAGAGTTTCGGGGATATAACATCACCCTGTCTTATACCTCTCTGCGGTTAGATGTTTTGTACTCTGGTTCTGCACTCGGATGTGTTAAACGTTTCTATACTCTAATGCATTCTGGTTATTTTGGCGACTTTCAGGTTTATTTATTAATTTTTCATCTAATTTACTATTAAGAAAGCTGTGAGCTCATCATAATGTTTTTCTATTGCATACATCTTACTATACAGGCTTATTTTTCAGTGTCCAAATTTTATATTTAAGTTCAAATATAAAAATAATAAATATATATATATATATATATATATATAATAATAATATTAAAATATAAATATTTTTATATATATATATATATATATATATATATATATATATATATATATATATATATATATAAATTCAAATATATAAATAAAATTAAAAAATATTTTTGCTTATCAATGACGTAACCGATAACTGTCATTATTATGGCGTGTTTAAAAAATTGGATTTAAGTATTTACAATTGAATTACGCAAGTAGTCCCAATAACTAAAATTAGTACATCAAGATGGATTCCGTTGCTCTCTATGCTTTGACTATCTCGTTGGTCTAGTGGTTGTAGTAGTGTGACTGTTGATCATGAGGTCCTGGCTTGGAATCCCGGGTCGGGCCAACAAAATCAATTATTGAGTTTTTCCGTCAAGAAATTCTCAGTAGCTGTCAGATGATTATCAAATGTTTATTAACAGGTTTCCAACTGAACCTAGACTAAAATTATGGCTTAAAATCATAAATATTGTGAATTGGCGTCCGAAACAAAATGATCATATTTGTTCCAAACATTTCACAGACGACTGTTTTATTAGACATGAGAACTGCATCACTTTGATAAAGTGCAGTATACCGACAATATTTTCTGGTAGTACCAGTACCAAGCACTACCAGCTACCAAGTACTAAGTATTAGATTATTGTTTCGAATATTTTTTTTTAACTCTTCTTTCCTCATTTTCCACCAAACTCAAGGACCATAACCAAGTGTCGAAAGGTCGCCTGATGATGTCGAGCCACGTTGGATGTGTGTTAGTGGGCTGCGGCTAGAGGGGATTCCTCTACCTGTACCGCTGTAGTCGAGGTGGAGTCGTAAGGGAAGAGGAGTGTTGATATGGCGATTGGCGATGCGCCACTCGAATGTCTTTCGCGACTTTGGTGTGGCTGCACCACTTGATGCTTCCAAATGCTCGTTTTTCCCTGGCTCCATTCACATATCGGGCTCAGTAATTGATAATTTCAGTTATTTTTTTCAATATTGTAATTTTAATTTCGAAAATGACGTTGTAAATAACTGATAACTGTGTAATTCAAAGTTTATATTTTTTATATTATCTTGCTAGCTTGCGCATTGCTGCCGCAGAAGAAGTAATTGTGGAAATATCGTTAAAATGTGGAACAGTTATATTGTATAATTAGGAATGATAATACAATCATTGACGTAGAATGATATATATATATATATATATATATATATATATAACTTTTTATAACTTTCAAATAAATAGTCAGTATAATACGCACGCCACCTAGTGTCAGTTAATGTACCATGCGTATAACCTTCCCACAAGTGCAACTAACAAGTTGACTAAGTTTTACCGCAATCTGATGAATGGTATGGCATCGTAGAAAGTACGAACAAACATAAATTTTTATATAGTAGAAAATATTTTACTGTCTATAGACAGACCTGTAGTTGATTAGAATAGACGTTATTATAGCAGCTGATTTGTTTTTTATAATACTAAAACTAAATGAATGGTTGACAATAAATTATTCTAGAAATTATGTTTCTATTTTTATTTTGTATACTTAGTTTAATCTTAATAATTTTTTAGTTGAATGGTTAAGGGCTATGATGGCTATCCGAGTACAGAACCAGACTACAAAACTAATCCAACTCTAGAGATGTGTAAGACAGGGTGACGTAATATCCCCGAAACACTTTACCGTTCCATTGAAAAACGTTTTCAACCTACTGGAATGGAAAGGACACGGTATTAACGTCAATGTCGTGGACGTCACTCATCTTCGATTTGCCGACAATATTGTCCTTATGGCACAATCGCTGGAGGACCTACGCACTATGTTCAATGACCTCAATAGTGTCTCCCAACATTTCTCCCAGTATTTTTATCGGGACAAGTAGTCCGACTGGGTAAGTTCAACTTCGACCGACAGGTCAATCGACGGATTCAACTCGGCTGGGCAGCGTTCGGGAGATTACAACACATCTTCTCGTCAGGAATACCTCAAAACTAGATTGTACAACCAGTGCGTGTTGCCAGTGATGATATATGGATCTGAGACGAGGTCTTTCACTGCTGGCCGTATGAGGAAGCTCCATCTCGCTCAAACTTAGGAATGAGGATATCTGCAGCAGAACCAGAGTGACCGACATCGCCCAATGGATTAGTAAGGTGAAGTGGCAATTGACCGGCCATATAGCTCGAAGAACCGAATACCGATGGGGAGAAAAGGTTCTCGAGTGGCAGCCTCGTACCGGCAGGTGAAGTGTAGGACGTTCCCCCCACTAGGGAATTAAAACCTGGTAAGATATGCAGGAAGTTGATGGATGCAGGTAGCTCAGGACCGTGCTTTGTGGCATTCCTTGGGGTAGGCCTATGTTCAGCAGTGGACTTGTGAAGGGTTTTAATGATGATGAATGATAATGGCATTATATAAATATGATACATAAATAGAATGAACGTTACGGGTTGAGTCCATCTATCCATAGAGTCCATTCTATTTATTTAGGTATCGGTAGGGTATAGAACTTTTATCGGTATAATTTGGTACACTGTCTTATCCCTAATATTAGTTCCGTTGATGGACGTGGCGGAAATCAAATCGCTTCATCATGTCACGGTGTATAGCCAGTCCAGCGTACTTGTATATATAGAGGTCAGTGATTGCTATGCATTGCATATGCAGGTACCACAAAATGTACCTTATATTAATATGAAGTGAATGCCTTGCCATACCGAATTATCAAAGCATTGCTATTATACTTATGAAAGTAATGATTGTGAATACGGATATAACTAACTAAAAATCCTTAGCCGTAAAGAAACTAGAAATTTGCTACAAACTACTTTAGTTTTTATTAAAACTGTTTCATTATCATTCTATCTAATGTATCATTAACATAATATGTAAAATTGTAGTGGACTAGGAGTATAAATTATTCACAACTTTTATCTTACCCCGCTAATGCAGTGGTTTTCTTCATGTTTAAAGATTTTATTTGTACTAAGCCTTTCGTAATTTCCAGTTGGTGTCGCAAAGCATTCAAAGCGCTGAAAAAACAAAACATTCTAAAATCCATAACAACTAGTTTTTGTTTTGTGTAATATAAAAAACATAAGCTTACTGATATAAATTCAGACTCAGATTTTTTTATAGGAGAGGGGGTAAACGAGCATGCGGCTCACCTGATGGAAAGTGGCTACCGCCGCCCAGGAACAACTGCAACACCAGGGGAATGCAGGTGCGTTGCCGGCCTTTTAGAAAGGAATAAGCTCTATTCTTGAAGGTCCTTAAGTCGTATCGATCCGGAAAAATCGCCGATGGTAAACTATTTCACAGTGAGGTCGTACGCGGAAGAAAACTCCAAGTGAAACGTACAGTGGTGAACCGCCAAACATCCAGATAGTGTGGATGGTATCGGGTCTTTTGCCGCGATGTGCGTTAATGAAATTTGGCGGCTGGGATTAATCCGAACAATTCCACAGATGCAAAGAAGTGAACGAGACATCGGTGAGCGTGGTGATTGAAACCGAGCCGTTGCGTGTTAAACCCAACAATAACCCAACAATCAAGTACAACGACATTGAGACGTCCATTTCGGAAAGCAACGCTCACAAATCTGAGAACAACAACGATGAATGGAAGGCGAAGAGTAGTGTAAGTGTTTCTTTATGTATATTTATCTATGTTCTTGTTAATGCAGGTACGGAAGCCAACTGAAGATATACAGGGCCATGGCATACAGTAATGACACAACACCAACTTAGTCAAAGTAAGGCACTGAAATATGAGCTTTATTTCGTGTTACATGTAGGTCATTTTATTTTATATGATAAGTGAATACATTATTACTTGTTAGAAATGTATTATGCAGTAGTAATGGGCCGGCTGGAACAGGAAAGGAAGGAAGGAGAACATTATGCTGCTATTTACAGTAGTATTCTCACAGAATACTACTGTAAATAGCAGCATAATGCTACTATGTTCGTATACGGCGGTTCCTCCCCTACCCTTTAATATGGTCGAGGAGGGCGATGGCTGGCATACGTGTCATACACATGAACATGCACTCATGGGTTCCAAATTTTTAAGGTTCTTTTTGAGTGCATCATTAGAAAATGTGTCAGTTACTGATGGGTCTGTTATTGTTTCCATCCTGTATATGATATGCTATTGTAATATTAATTTGAAAAAATACCTCACTTGGAAATGGTAGTAGATTGAAAAAAAAATAACATTTGAAAATTTATATTTCTTGCGTCGACGAAATAATTATATCTTTATTTAGTTATTAATAATTCATGTAGAACTATACATAAAACGCCATAATAGACCATTAATTTGGGTTATCGTACAAAAGTTGGTTAGAGCTGCGATTTGAACTTGGGACCCGCGACGTAGTAGTTCAATATTCTGACTGAATGTCACGAGGTCGCTATTGCAATAGTACTGTGGAATCAATAGTTAACAAATACTTCTAAACGTTTCCATCCGAATCTGCCAGCAGTCGTGTCGGTGATGCTGAGCAGTGATTCGGCGTGGAGGACCGTAGCCGCCTTCTGTGAATCCGTTATGGCCCAGAAAGAGGCTGTAGAGCGGCGTCGGAAGAGGTCAGATCCCGCTCGGAGACGACGTTGTCAAGGCGTTTGTCACGGCCCTCTCCTTGATGATGGTATTCCCATACCAGAAACGGGCCCTTGGGGGTTACGGGCGCTCGAGGCGGGGCCTCGAACGTCTCATCATCAGCATTGCAGCCCTTCACAAGTCCACTGCTGAACATAGGTCTCCCACAAGTAATGCCACAAAGCACGGTCCTGACCCACCTGCATCCATCGACTTCCTACATATCTTACCAGGTCGTTACTCCATCTAGTGGGGGGTCGCCCTACACTACGCCTACCGGTGCGAGGCTGCCAATCGAGAACCTTTCTTCCCCATCGGTTATCGGTTCTTCGAGCTATATGGCTCGAACGTCTAGTAATGTGAAATACCTGAGGAGGATAGTGACTCAGAAGTGGTCTCGACCACTGTAATAGCACTGCGAGGGTGCTGGAGGCAGTAAGGAATGCCCCGGGACGTGCTTTAAGAGCGTGTATTCAAATTTGCGCAAGTTAAAATCGCTCTGGAACGACGTAATATTGAAGCACACTACAATGTTCTCTGTGTGCGTAACTGCTCGAGGTGGAGCGAGCGCAAGGTTACTATAATAGTTGTATCCAAAGATTTTTGTATCTAGCACGAATCATCTTGATACTATTGGAACTAAGAGAATAAAATAATTTCCCGTTAATAGCTTATGAGGTCGTAGCTAAGACATAGTGTATATGAGAATTAATATCCGATCTAGTCCTGACGTCGGAAGGTAATATGTGTAAATTATTTTATTCTTGTAGTAAATTGAAGTCGGCTTTTCTTTTTTACTCTATTGAGTAGACTAAGGAACCTCACAACGCCAAGTTAGTTAAGAACTATAAAGGGGTAAGTAATATATGTTCGAATTGAAAAATATGTAATATATAAAATAGATTTCGTTCGATTTACATTTATTCTGTATTATAATGTAAAGATAATTTATCTAAATAACAATTTCATTGATGTCGGCGGGAATCGAACCCAGGTTGCTCGCGTTTACGGCGAGCACTTTGCCCTTGAGCTACCATGGCTCATATCTGTTTTGTTTCTATTTTATAATAACGTTACCTCCACACTAAGAATGTTTCCTAAGTATATAGTGGAGGCAGTTAACATAAGAACATAAAATTTCACAAGGACAAACATCCAGACCTGGAACAATTATTTATAGGTTTACAAATTTTTGTTCCGTGCGGGAATCGAACCGGCGGCCCTTAGAGTTAAACTTATTGCTAAGCCACTCCGCCACCGAGCCGTCAAATATATCTTTTGTAGGGATAAATATTTTAGTTATAAATTGCTTACTATTAAACAAACTTGAAAAATTATTAGTAATTTATTTAAATAATATTATTTCACAAAGTATCATTCCTTAAGCGCCCTCCACATTCACGCCGTGAATACCTGTGAAAGGCGTGAACCGCGAATGTGGATGGCTTTCGCGCCCGTTCACGGACTTCGCGCCTTTTCACGCCCTGTTCCCCGTTCAGTGTCGGTATTTTGTGCCCGCTTCAAAGGGTTTACGAGGTGTGAACCTCCCGTGAACGCAAGCGCATCCACACTCGCGCGTGAAAACAGTAACGCACGAGACTCGTTGCTGTGAGGTTGTGCTTATTTGTATTTTTTTACGTAGGACGGTGCGTCAAAATGAGCGTCAGTTGGACGAACGAGCAGGAAGTCTTGTTGATCGAGTGTTATCATGCCGAACCCATTTTATGGGATGCTAAACACAAAGATCATAAAAATAAAATGAAAGTGCATGACGCATGAATACGAATAAAGGAAATAATGAGATTTTATTTTATTTTATTTTATTTTATAGGATAGTGTGACAAACAAGCACAAAGTTCACCTGATGGTATGTGGATGCTGTGGCCCATAGACATCTACATCTATCCTCTATTACGAATCAAAATGCATATGCATTGTCTCCTTGTCTCGTTTCCAGTAAAAAGGGTCTTTGGTTCTCTACACTCACCATACGAAACATAGCAGCATTAAGCTACTATTTCACGCTGGTATTCTGTGAGAGCGTGGTCCTTCCCCGGTCGAGCCGACCCATTCGTGCTACAACTATACTACTAATATAACTGCAGCATGGCTCTGCCACGAAAAGCGTAGAAGTGACTGATTGAAAAAAAAAGTCTAATGTCCGGTTATAGAAATTATAAGAAAAAGGTGAAGGATTCTGAAAGGAAGTCTGGAGCAAGCAGCAACAAAATTTACAAGCCCATTTGGATTGCTTTTGACGTGATCGATGCTTTTCTAGGAGAAAGCGATAATTGTAAAAAAAAAACTACAAATACGGTTTTTTATCTTTTATATATACGTACTTAATTGTCGTGAGCCAAAGCGCAAAGCGTCACGGCGATAGCAGTGCATATTTCAGCGTCCATTCTCGACGAGCGCGCGAACTAAACTGTGAACGATTGCGAATGTGGAGGGATGTGATATATGATATTTTTCGCGACGACTTCGCGGCAAAATTACGGCGTGAATTCACGCCGTGAATCACACAGGAGTCTGGAGCCCACATAACGTTGTGTGCGCGAACTATTGTTTATTTTGTAGCTATGCGCCTTATCATCGTTTCCGATAGTGTGTCCAATTACAATAGCTACAAAAAACAGATTTTTTGTAGCCATTTGGGTCGCTATTAGTTATACAGGTTTTTTTGACACAATTCGCAATGTGTTTTATAATTATTATATGGAACTGATCAAATTAACGAATCATTTTTGGTCCAAAGATCGTTGAAAACTGAACTTTCTGAATAATATAACTGTGAAAATAGTAATAAATCTTATGAACTCACAATTCATTCACTTCAAAGAGCACTTTAAAAAGAACGGCATAGTTCCAACGGTTTTAATACCTCACACCTTGATAGCCTAGATAATATCATTGCATCGGACATATAATGTTACTTTATTTATTGAAAACAACAGTGTCTACAAACGATTGAAGAAATTGACTAGTGGAAGAATTTTTCCACAAGCCTTTTGCATTTTACTAAATGTACTTATATAAGCAGCAGCATGTAAGTTAGATATTGTACTGATTATTATTACGATGCATAGCGCAAACCGGCGATATGCATCAGGCAGTGAGAAAAAAAAAACCAAGTAAACATGATCGATATCTGCATCTTGCCATGCCATCACATTACGCGCAAAGCAAACTTGATGTTGCCTATATAGTCCAAGTTTTTTGGGAAAATATGCAAAGCCAGATATAAGATATATTCAATTTTGCTATCAAAATGATCGATCGAAATATAGACTAGTTAGTGAAAATTCGGGACATTTGGCGTTCCGATTCATCATTGATCGGGACAAATCCCGCACAAATCGGCACACTTGGCAACACTAGCTAATGCTATCGGTGTGAATTAACACGTACCCGGGCTGTGGCGGGAAAAAGTGATACGTCCTATCGTTGGGAAGACCCGGAGCGTACTGAATCGGACGGCGTTTGCGCGTGATGATTTATAGTATTGTTAAAATAATCATATAAAATAATTGACTAAATAAAAGGAGCAAAAATTTTTTTTGGATATTTAACATTACCTGTATTTTGATTAAATAATTAAAATAGATAAGTTTATATCCCAATACACGGAAAAAAAATGACATTGAAGTGGACTGTTTTGGTGATTTTATAGTATTGTTTTTTTTATAATAAAATATATAATCGAAATATTTTTGTAATTTAAGCTTTGCTATATATTCTATTATAATAATGTTTAAAATAAAGTATTTTAGCTTATAATCATGGTTGTATTCCACCTGAAAGATAACTCTGACGCATATTTTCGTAAAACACTATGAACGGCTTATCTTCGGTCTAAAAAACCGTCATTAAAAACTATGATTTTCCGTTGCTATGTACTAAATAAAGAGTTTATCTTTCTAAATCCCTAATTTTCTGCAAATAATTTGCTCATATCGTTACGATATCGCCCTTGAAAAAACCCTAAAACATGAAGTTCTCGACGCAAATAGCATATGCCCTCTTAATAAAGCAAAGCGAGAGGCTCCCGATTGCGTTCCGAACGGAGATCCCGGAACCCCTGATATATACGCTGATGGTGACACCGTGGGGTTTTGGCTGGTAAGAGTCCGGCATAACCTTTCTGTTGCCTCCGCAGCACAAGGTATCCATGAGGATTTCCCCACGAGAGCTGCGATTTGAACTTGGGACCCGCGACGTAGTGGTTCAGTATTCTGACTGTGTGACGCGTTCGCTATTGTGATAGTACTGTGGAATCCATAACTAATAAATACTTCCAGACGTTTCCATCCGATTCGTCGCAGGCGTCCGCTATGAAATTGCAGCGGCCGCATCGTCGCACCGCCGTTGCCTTTAAAGAACCGCCGCGACGAAGGAGCGAGAGGGACAGAGATACTGGTATTGTAAGCTGTTCTTGTCATTAAATTATTGTGATTTAGATGTATGGTTCATAAAAGAAAGCTTGATCTCTGCGACAGCTGTCAGTAAAAATCACGCCTATGAAGTCCTGAATTTCTTAGTAGTACAGACAGTACCTGTCAATGTCATACTGTATGGGCATGCACTAATTAGGTCGGCATGCCCATACAGTTACATGACATTGACAGGTACTGTCTGTACTACTAAGAAATTCAGGACTTCATAGGCGTGATTTTACTGACAGCTGTCGCAGAGATCAAGCTATCTTTTATGAACTATAGTGAACGAAATGATGGCTAAAATTGGCATAGCATAGTAGTAGTATTTGAAATAAATAATTAAGTTTATTTTGTATTTTCATTTTATATTGCCGCAAAAGTGGAATCGGTTGCCATATTCCTATAATGCCTACCTTATGTATCAAATGTACGAATAAATAGCAAAACAGATTAAAATACAAGTATTAATACGCATTTTTGTAAACATATATTTCGTTTGTAAATACGCATATTTAATTTCTGTCTGAAACTTATCTTCATAATCATCACAGCAAAAATCCATTCATGACAGGAATCTCATAAAGCGCTGTAAATGTATCACGATATTTCCAAGATTGGTCAACTATTGATAATCTAAGATCAATTTGTTAAATTAACTCGTCCGTTCGAAAGAATCTCTGAATCTCAGAAGAAAACCAGACATTTTTGATTACATTTATTTAAAAATTTCATGTCTAGGTGCAACAACCGATTACCAAGATTCTTCAGACGCCACAACCGCTGACGAGAAACCTAAGGAAGCAGTGAATGGTATGAAATTTTTTATTAAATTTACTCACACACGTTAAATTAGAAAATATTTAAAAAAATTGTTATAAAGATATTTCTTCTGTTGTTTTGTTTGTGTGTCGGTTGTTTTTTCTTAAATACTTTTTTGGCGGTTATTAATTAAGGCCGTTGGGAAGAATAAATATTCACTCAAACTTGTAATTTTTAATGTTCCTATTTTGACAAATATAAAATATTAACTGCAACATTATTACGTTTATATATTATTGTCGAATAAACTAGGAATAATTAATGCAAAGTGCGCGGGTGGCTTGTCCAGTTGCTCTCGGGCAAGTGTTTGATCTCGCCGCTGCCGAGATAGCGGCATATCCGCGCTAACAAAGGCAGTCACAAAATTTCACCATAGAGCTTATTATATTCTTTTTCTTGTGAAATGTTTTTATTTGATAATGTATTTTATATCATTTTAAACAATAAATCTGCTTTTTTATTAAACTAATTTTGTAGCCAGAAAACGACCTAATTTTAGCTGTTCAAACGGCGCAAAGACAAAGTGTACCCCTCGCCATAAAAAAAACAAAAAATTTAAATACATATGTTCACACTCAAATCTTGAAGACTGGTGTAGATAGGCAATAATCGTATCCAGGTCTCCACCCCATAGAAAAATAAAATTATTTGTAATTGACCAATATTTAGATCTTAGCAATTATTTTAATCAATATAAATAATCAATGTCAATATATATATATGTATAAAGTGTGTCAAAAAATTATGTGTAAATTGTTTCTCCTGCGCCCAAGCTCTCTTGGACCGTGTAGGATTGCGATTTGATAATTTTGAGGGAATAGACAGTGCACCTAAGCTTGCGCATGCGGACTAGTCTCGTTGAGACTACCCGCTGTGACAGATAATCGGTTGGGAGGATACTCAACCCAACAATCAACCCAATACTCAACCCAACCCAACACCCTTTTTTTTCGTGGGGAAATCCTCATGGATAACATTAGTTGCGGGGGAAATGTGAAGGTTATGCCGAACTCCTACCGGCTAAAACCCCACGGTGGTCACCATCAGCGTATACGAGGGGTCCCGGGATCTCCGTTTGGAACGCAACCGGAGCCCAATCAACGCTTTGCTACACTAGTAGCACGTCCTAGGGGCAATACTTGCTACCCCCATCACCCTCGCAGTGCTACCACGATGTCTCGAGACCACTTCCGAGTCATCATCCTCCTCGGGGGTTACATAACTAGACGTGCGAGGCCCCCGTCCCGAGCGCCTGCAACCCCAGAGGCTCCGTTTCCGGTAGGGGAATTGATGATAATCCATTATTATACTAATGACTTTAAGTGCTTTTAGGGGAGGCAATTTAAATCTCAATTGCTTCATTCATGTGATTATTTATCACAAATATTAAGAATATTACGTATAGTTGTAAAAAATCTGTAGACCAAATTGGATATTTCTCATTTTATTTCGAATTTCCCTTAGGTAGACCTTATTACCTGTAGATATCTTACAGTTTACTGTTTGTTAAAATTATCGTATTTTTTCGTAGGTCACGGGCGACGGAGGTGTTTCACAAGACTAAAGTCTGCTTCCACGTCTAGACTGAATTACTCTCCCAAGTAAGTTATTGGTTTGAGATGCATATTTGAAATGAAATGAAAATTTATTGTTTCCAACATATTCTTAATTTAGTACAAGTTTGAAGACTGCTTTTAAGTATAAAAGTACTTGTGGTAGAAGGTCCTCGCCCTCCCTTAGCTAAGTTATTATATTAACAAAATTCAACAAAAGAGAAACAAAGTGTGAGCATGTGCTTACAAATTTTAAGCTATTGCATAGCTTCTATCGCGGGCCTTGAGCGCGGGGACCGAATCCAGAAATTCCGTAACGAAAAAAAACCTCACGCTCCCCACTCCGACGGGCACGGAGGTGTGGCGTTGAAAGCCGTGCATCGTCTAACGTCGTTTCAGTCCTCGGCAGACTTCGGCACTCGGCAGACTTCGGCACGGTGTTTGTGTGCGTGCGACTAGACGTATGCGTGTACACTAGCTGCTAACTCAATGATAAAAATTCCTGAATAACCTACATGTATTGTAAGATATTAAAAATATTTTAAACAATATTAACTTCTCATTTATTCAATAAGAGAAAAAAATTGTTTTCTTATCGGTCACCACGCTCAAAAAGTGTAACTTGATTTAATATCAAAGACTTAACTGCATAAATAAAATAAATAAATAATTATAATTGCATAAGTTGATAAAAAATGCTATGCAATAGCTTTACCGCGGCAGTCACCGAGTGCCACACGTATTTTTAAATAATTCTGTTTTCATGATGGTGGATGTACTTTCAAGAATAATCGGAGTATTCATGATTTATTTATTTTTAGTATGAGTTCTATGAATATCTTTTATATGTCACACTCGGCGATACTGTAGCCTACTTCGTTAGCAAGGCCAAGAGCATACCCCCATTTCTACCAGCATTTTCTTTGTTTCCTCTTCCTCTCTAAGCTTGATTTTCGGGAGTCTCTTTGAAGATCCTCAATGTTGTTCCCTAATTGAGTAATTTATTTCTTGTCCTCTTTTAGTTGCGATACTGCTAATTACTGTATTTTCTTCTTAAATTCTCCGTTTTGACCCACAAGAAATGCGATAGATTTTTCAATATTTAGGTTCGTTTCTTGTATAGTTCTCTGAGTAGTGGATATATGTTAAAGTTCCTTTTCTTGTAAGGAAAATAGTTCAATAATTATCATCTTTTTCATTTCGACCTTAAAATCTTCCACATCAACCTTATAATCGTCCTGCCTCAGTCTTTTGTTACGATAGCCAACATAGTTTGGTGGTGTTACAGCATTAGGTTCCTTATTGCTAATATCCGTCTCCGAAAGGGACTTGTTTATAGTCTGTTTGCTTTATTATATCAATATAATATAATGTATTAGTAAACAATGTACGTTTTTACAGCTGAATCCCAGTGAAAGTTAAACTTTTTGCAAAACAATTGAAAATATAATTTTGAAAGTTGGAAATAAAAATAATTACATTTATTTTGCGGTGTAGTGGTGCTGTATGATTACTACCCCATATCATCTTGCGGGGTGTCGTAATAGGCAACAGGGGGAAATGACAGTAGGAAAAGGTCCTTTCGCCGGTCTTGTATGTACGTGGTATTTTACCTCTGGCGTAAACGTGCTTCTATACCGCCATCTATCGGAGGATTAAAACTTTTTCTTTCTTACGACGCTCGCGGGAATCCCGCTAACACACGGCAATTTATATCACTGTTGTAAGGTGAACGCACATTTATCAGCACCGTACGCGTGAATTTTGCGTCGAATTTTTGAATTCGTTGTATGAAATCATACGACATAGGATTTTTTTATCATTTTACCCGTATCGTACGCGCCGTATTTTATAAAATTCGGTAGGTATTGTATATACTCGGGGTATTGAAGGAGGCATGCTGATGAAGTCATAAAATGCGGCACGTTCGGCGCTGATACTCAGTGTTGCCTATTGTTGCCCATTTTTGGATTTTTCACTAAAGTTGGTGGTTTCGACTACCCTGTACTTGTTTTTGCTAGTCGTTCAGTAGAATTAAGTTTCAACTAGTGACACGATGATCACTCCACCATTAACCCCATTACACGTTTAGAAATATATTTTTACTTCACTTCAGTAGTATTTACTTTTACTGTGTAGGCAACAACGAGTCGTCAAACAAGACATGCTTAAGACGATCCATCCATCCAATGCAATGTCTGAAAAGTCATTTATCATCATCATCTAATAAGTCTTTATACAACATGTAACAAAAACCCTGTGGTTCTCGTTAAGTGTGTTATAATAATCAGTGTCCAAGCATATAAAAATATTTTTTTTTTTCAAAAAACAAATTAAAAAAAATTATTTTAATGAGAAAATATTAATTTAAAAAAAAAAAAATTTTTCATAATTCTTTTTTTAAACGTGTTGTACATTACAAGATATGGGCATTGCTTATTAGACAGTAGAATCCTAAAAAATGTTAACAGAAAAGATTGAGTGAGGAATTGGGAGATGTTTTTTTTTTAAACATTTTGTGTAAACTAAATCGCGCTGAATTTTATAAATGTGTTTACAATTACAGACGTGGCGAGGGCTGGTCCAGTCCACTGGAGTCCCTTCGCCAACAGCTCCGGAAGCTGGACGACTTAGAGGATCAGTTCCCGGACTTGGCTTGCCAGCCGGCGTATAGTTTGCGGTATCCTTTTACTGAATTAGGTATGTTTTGCAAAAAGTTACAGGTTGTATAGGTGATGCAGTTTTCAAAGTACGGTGCCTTTAGTAGTAGTAGTAAGGGGAACAAACGAGCAAACAGTCAATTTGATGATAAGTTACCCTACCTTATAATAGATATGTTCGATCTAAAGGCAGTTGCGGTCACAGACCAATAAGGTCTAAGATGGAATGTCTTATAACCAGTGACCGGTGTTTTGCTTATATATAGCGGAGGTGGGGTAGAAAAATAACGTGAGACTTCAAAGAAAATCTGACTCACACAATCCATTGCTGACGCTAGCCTCTTCTATGATAGATTTGCCATAATGGCAGTAAGATTGTATTAATTGGATATTTTAGATATCGCCTAATACTGCGATACCACAGTACTAGGTGATATCTATATTATTAAGTGAAAAAAAATTAGAAATGGGACAATTTATCCTTTAGTTGTTTGGTCCTGCACCTGATCTACCTCCGGTCGTGTCGGATTACCGTCCCATCCGATCTACAACGAGGGTATAGAGAGTGTTCCTGTGCTTGCACACGCTCTGCACTAGAATTCTCTCCTGTGTGTATCCATTGAAACTGGCCGCCGTGACCGAGGTTCGGTCTGGAGGACATTATTATTATCTTGTGTAAGAATATCTACTACCCCATATTATTCCGAGAGATCAGAGGCGACTGAGGGAAACAAATCAAGTCATGGGAAACGTTTTCCTAATAACGACTATAAATAAAAAAACTGCCGTTGCCAACCGTCTTGCGAAGCGTGGCAACTATCGCAAATATCCTCTCTATGAGGCAATCTACGAGGGAGACCTATGTATTAGTAGTAGACTTAAAGAAAATAACGGCAACGGTGTATTTTTGATTGTTATTTTGTTTGTTGTTAACTTTCTCTAATTCGTAGGTGCAGTAGAAACGGCGAACACACCAGAGTTGGAATTCGTTCGCCATCGTGCCCTCGTAGAGCGGGAAGGCATGAAACGAGCTCGCGCAGTGCTCAAGCGAAGACGAGCCGCTTTGAGGGAGTCCAGAGCTTCACTGTCGCCGCATAGGGCCCCGTCTGTAAGTTACTATTTTATATATTTACATTTTTTTTACTCAAGTTGTCTTACATTTATAATATAAAAGTTCTAAGACTTAAAAGCTTGGGTTTAAAAAAAATGTAACTGGTTTTGGTAGAATTGTCATTAATGAGTAGAGTAACGGGGTTCAAAACCTGATGCGATTTATTAGAACTGAGATGCGTGCTGGCTTTTTACCAGACCTAGCGTTGGCATTCTTGCGTCATTTGACGCATTTAGTATGTTTTCAATGTTATTTTTGTAATTTATGTTATTGTGTAGATACTAATGAGTTTTTATGTATTTTTATAATCCTTAGGAGTAAATAAGAGTAAATATGAGTGACATTACAAATAAATAAATGTTAAATATTTAGAACTTTCTACTAACCCTACTTCGTTTTAAAACTAATTTTCAATTATCTACTACAAAGTTCCATCTCATCCTGATCGCGTCTAGATTATAAGTTGATGAATATATTCAGATATATAGACAGGTAAATCGCACTGTTTCAGCGTAAAAAAGCCTATTTACATTTGCTTTGAAGACATCCAGATTGTAATCAGATAGAAAGACAGTACGTCAGCAAATTATAAGACTCCCTTGCTGCTCCTATATATAACAAAACCGTTAACCGTTTGTTTGGAATGCAAGGTATATCAATAGCAAAAGGATTTAGTAACACTGCATCCTAGTGCTACTTGTGCTTACATCGGGCACAGGTAGTTTATTTATAAAAGTGAAGTTTGAAATGAACTCAGAGTCCATCTGATGGTAAATGACTGCTGCAGCTCATGAACACCTGCAACTAACTTCAAACAAAGTAGGTTACCGATAAATTGTTACCCTTGAGGACTAAAATGAAATTCTTCACAGCCCGTAAAGTACAAGCACTGGTATTTGACGGTAGTAACAGCTAAGAGGATGGTGACGGACTGCTAGTTAGAACAGTAGTTCTGCCACATATAAATTATTGATTATGGATTGAATGATTGAGTGTTCTTGTTTTACGCCATCCACTATAATATCATTTTATGGTTTCTCCAATAAGTGTATGTATGAGTTTAACAATGTTCGCACATTAAAAGTCGTTGTATTTGAATTTAATAGCAATTAATCGATAAAGAGTAACTACGAGTAACAAGTTGGAATGAATTTGTGACTCAATAGAAATATTAGTTAGTTGTCAAGATCAAGATGACGTGTTTGCATGTATGCCATTTTTTTAAATGACGTATGAACAACCTCCAAATTTTATAGACAAGTGATGAGGACTTCTGTACTAATACAAATGTATCAGCCCGGTAATAACCCACTAGTGAGCTTAGTACAATCAAATCGTCCAAGTAGTGTATTTTATTAGGCAATTATGGAAAATGCTAGAAAGATCTCATGATTTCCCATAGATGGCGATATAGTTATCGCCATTTCGTATGTCAAGTGAGGCGATTAAGAGATATCTTCCTGTTTACGTAAGAGTCCCATAATTTCTTGAAAAGGCATATGTCAAACAGTGCACTCGAAAAGGTTGTTTTTGTGATATTACGAAGAATACATGTTATAATCAGGAGGAACGGGAGTCCACAGAGTTAGAGGTTGCGTTGCACCGAGCGCGTGCGTTGTTGGGGGAGAAGGAGATCCGACTGCGACACATCGAGCGCGCCTTGCGTAGGCTGGCCGACACACACCCCCCACCCCTCATACAGGTTCATAGGCTGTAGTCGACTTTCAAATAACCGCTTTTCCATGTTCCCATCTCAATGTTACGTCATTTTACTTTTCGTTTATCACACAGGGTAGTTGACACCGTTATTAAATGACCAGCTGTTACCAGGTGCTCGCTAGTCGTCGCTAATTTCATTTTTTTCTCTTCTTGTTTTCATTTTTTTAAGTTGTGATTTAATTATAAGTTTTTCGGTTTCTAGTGTATGTGTGTAAAAAAACTTTTAGGGACATTCGTAGTTTGCATAATGATTTCTTATATTTACGCGAACATTACACATTTAAATAATACTAGTTTTTACGGTTTTTATCGCGTATATTTAACTATAATATCGTATAATATAATAGCGATAAAATCCGTAAAAACTAGTATTATTTAAATTCGTAGTTTGGTTTATCCATTTATAATCTAATTTTTAAAAAAAATTTAACTGAAATTTTAGGAACAAACATTAATCTCTAAACTTTTCTAAAAATTAAGTTATTCCGCTATAACATCTATCAAATGTTTCACCTTATCCCTTAGTTGCGCCGCCTTTGTGACTGAAAGTCATTGATTTTACTTAAGGAATTAACATATTATTATAAAAGTGTCCTATGTTGATTCCACAACATAATCGACTTCTGTGCATGAATCCTTCCAATACGCTAAACGTGTTTGTATTTGAATTTCCTTTTTTTTGTATGTATTGTAAATGTGGTATTCCTTGGGGGAGGCCTATGATCAGCAGTGGACTTGTGAAGGGCTGTAATGATGATGATGATTATAAATGTGCTTTTTTGTTCTTATAGAATGAGAGTAAAAAAGCTTTCACAGTCAACCTGGTGATAAGTGGAAGCTGCAGTCCATAGACATCTATAATTATCCTCGACAAAGAATCAAAATGCAAATGCGTTGTCACCCCAGAGGCTTAAGATATAATGCCTTATTACTAGTAAAAAGCAGAATCTGGTTCTCTACACTCACTATATGAAACATAGCAGCATTAAGATACTATTTCAAGGTGGTGTTATATGAGAGAGTGATCTTACCACGGTCATGCCGACACATTCGAAGTGCATCCTTAATATAGCTATAGCATGGTTCTGCAACGCATCTGCAAAAAGGCATTGTAAATCATGCCGGCCATGGCTTAGACAAAAAAATTACGACTATTTTTGTTTTGTTCTGATAGTTCGTGAAAAGTGTTTCGATCGATATGACATGTCAACTACTCTGTTTTTTTTTTATTTTCTTGTTTGTTTTATTGGTCATAGTTTATTGTTTCTTAAGATGGGGAATTTCTTTTTAATATTAATTTTTAATGTTTAAAAACACTAAAAATGTAAAACCGGACTGGTGTTAAATATTTAAAAGTGTACGAATGAATACAAATGTGTCGCATTTCCTATCTAAAAGAATAAACTATTTTTTGTGTATCTTGTCACAGATTCTCTTTTTTTTACATCACAAATTGTCAGTGTTGCTTCAGAAAATGTTTTATAGCCATTGTTTTGGATCAATGTGTTGTTTAGTATCATGCCGCTAAATACTTAATCCAACTTTTTATTTTGTGTGTATTCATATTTATTTAGCTTACGCACACGTTCGTAGTTGTGCTATCATTCTGTATTACAAATCAAAGCGGAAATTATTATCTGTTTCTTTTGTATTTAGATTTTTTTCTGTCGTTTACAACAGATTGTTAAACTTGAATACTCACTAATATTTTTCATGGCATTTGCTAGAATTACAAATAAGTGTATGTTAGTATGTAAGTGTGAGCATGTTAAGTTTTAATCAACGGATGATCCGAAGGACGTCACACACAGATTATTTTTATCATTTACAATTTCTTATTCTGATGAAATTTATTAAGCGCCTTTTATAATCATGTGAATCATGTGATTTGAATGAAATTTTAAAATAAATGACGTGTATTTTTTACTTCACCGTGTAGTAGCGGTGCAAAAATATGCGCTACCTCATATCGTTCCTTAGGTGTTTTAAGAGACCACCGAAGGAAAAAAACTATTGAAATAAATAAATAATATCAATAATAAAAAATATCAAGAAAATAAGATATTCTTGATATTTGTAATTTTAATTTAAACACATTCATTACATACATGTGACTGAGACAAGTATATTACATGATAGTTAACCACCGATAATAGCAGAGCGGAGTGTCCAACATAATAACTCAAACAGACCACAAACTAAATAGTGCTACCAACTATATAATTTAAATGTAATTATATTGCCACGTTACAACAAAAACCAGGAGATGGGCAGCAGCGTGTTCCTAATAAAAACTAAAAAATTCAAAAAGACTGCTGTTACACTGCGAAAATTGCATATGGAATATATGATGAATATATGAGTCAGTCTATGGGGAGGCCTGTGTTCAGGGGTGGATTTTTAATAGCAGTAACATAATGGTTTCCTATAATATACTATATATTAAAGCGAATAGTGTACATTGAATGTTACAATTAATTTTACGAACTGTATAACGATTGATTTATAATTCCGACTTACATCATATTTTCGGATGCTTTGCAGCACTTATGATAACGGGAGAACAGAGATTTTATACGTTCTTATGTAATAGTTCACATTGTATGCATGTTTAAAATTTATATAAATTTTAAGCGATAGTAGCCTAACGGCCTGGCCACGGGGTACGGCGGCGCGAACGGCGAAGCGACAGGCGGGGCGAAAATTCGCGCGGCGCGATTTGAGGGCCACGGGAAGTCACGTTTGCCGCCGCGACCAGATAGGCCGAGAGTAAAATGTCTTTATCAAAGTTATCTCGATATTGCTTAGAAAGTTTAGACTTAAAAAGGAAAAGATTGCGGAGTACACGATTTGAATAGGAATCGGGTTATAAATGGAGAATTCCACAACAAATAGAATGCATCTAGAAAACATTTCGAGTAAATAAATACCAGAATGAGTGTCGAAACCTGCGATTATATTCTTGTTAATATTCAACCAGAATTGGAGATAAAAGTCAATGCGGATAAAATTTTAAGTTGTTTTTGTCGGCCTGGCATTTTTCGCGGCGAAAACAACTAAAATATTTTGTTCCCTATACTATTCGGCGCGCCGCGTCTGCCGCCGCGTCTGCCGCCCGACTCCGTGGCACACGCAATCAGTACGGTACTGATTCATACATTTGTTTCATTCGCCCGCCGCGCCGCCAGTCGCCCGCGCGATTCGTCCGGTAAATTTCCGGGAACCGACGCTCCGGGAAGTCTGCAGTCTGCGAACATGTTCAAGATCGTCCCCACCATTACATTCGTTTTGATAAACCACAAATTCTCGCAAAAGAACACCGATTCCTACCAAGGATGATACGCGAGGCTATTGAAATTAAAAAACATCCAAATTTCAATAGAGAAGATGGATGGGTGCTGCCACCTGCTTGGGATCCTATAATTAACAAAATTAAACCCAAACCTAAGCATACCACTGCAAGACTTCATGATACTATAAGCTCGTTTTGCGTAAATCGGACCGAAAATTAATATTCAAAAACTGAAGGTAGCCGGACTAACTATGACATTAGGACGTCAAACATCTCAGTCCCCCCCGTGATCATGGTTGCTGTAAAGCACCCGAAACGTCGGGAATTAAAAATAAGTAAAAGTAGTGAAATAAACGCGATAAAATCCGTAAATTTAGTTTTATTCAATGTGTAGTGTTCGCGTAAATTTAAGAAATCATTAAATAAAATATGTTAAATAAATATAATTATATGAAAATATAATTTTGGTATATGAATAAAAATTGAAGATTGGTGTATGAACAAATAGGAAGCAACAACAAGCGAAGCGTCGTCGGGAAGCGAAGTGGCCGAGGAAACGAAAACAAGCGGAGCCGTGCTTCGCTCGCTTCGCGCTTTGCACGCAGATGTGAGGGACATTTGGCGCGCTTTAGATGCACGCAGGCCTTATACTGGTACGTTATCATTTTTAATATCATTGTTTGTAACATCTGGTAGGCGTTAAAGATAAAATGGAGATAAGTATATTTATTAAAATATTGAGAAAATTATCGACGTTATTTTTTTACGTTTTTATTTTTACATTAACTCATTCCCTAACAGAATTGAACATTATATTATATTATCGTATTTGTTTAACTAATTGTGACATTTTAACATGAGGTAGATCAAGCTGTAGCTATGATATAATGGTTTATGTGGTACGAATGCATCGGCTCATCCGGGTGATGACAACGCTCTCACAGAACACCAGCGTGAAATAGCAGCGTATTGTGTGGTGAGTGTAGAGTTTTAACTGAAAACGAGGCATTACATTTTAGTCCTCAGGGCTGACAACGCATCCCGCATCTTGATACTCAATCGAGAATAGATGTATATGTCTATGGGCCATAGCATCCGCTTATCATTTGGTGAACTGTGTTTCGTTTGTTCCCCTTATTTATGGGTAAAATATTTATATTTAAAAAAATATTTAATTATTGGTTTTTGACTTCATAATTAAAATCTCATTCGTTAAATGTTATATTTTTAAACCTCCTACCGTTTCAATGCGATATCCCCTTGAAATATTATTTTATAATGTGTATTTAATTATACTTCAGCCTCACCTGAAACCAGTTCCTGCAATGTGCCTACAACTTCACAGAATAGAATGACACTATCTGCTGTAAGTATGAAAAGATAATTTTTCACTCTTACTCGTCCTAGTACTAACGAAGGATCATTTCGGTTGAAGGGTTCCTTTTCCAGTAAGGAGTTCCTTTGCATAGTAAACCACAGTTCACTCACTGTTATTTCGGTTTGAGACTGGACGGATTTACAGTAGAATTACAAATTTGAGGCATTCCACTTTAGTAATCAGATTCGGCTGGGCAGCGTTCGGGGAAAATACGACACATCTCGTCAGCTATACCTAAAAACCTGAAAACGAGACTGTACAAGCAGTGCGTGTTGCCAGTGATGACTTATGGAACTGAGACGTGGTCCTTCATTGCTGGCCGTATGAGGACGTCCAAGATCGCACAGCGAGCTATGGAGAGGGTTATGCTCGGGGTTTCTCTACGTGGTAAACTTATATCCGCAGTAGAACCAGAGTGACCGACATATCTCAACGAATTGTGAGGTGAAGTGGCAATGGGCCGGTCATATAGCTTGAAGAACCGACAACCAATGGGGAAAAAAGGGTTCTCGAGTGACAGCCTCGTACCTTTAGGCGAAGTGTAGGGCAACCCCCACTAGATGGAGTGACGACCTGGTAAGACATGCAGGAAGTCGATGGATGCAGGTGGCTCAGGACCGTGCTTTGTGGCATTCCTTTGGGTAGGCCTACATTCAGCAGTGGGCTTGTGACGGGTTGTAATGAACTCGTCTTATGACTAACGAAGGGCTCTTTTCGGTTGTTGTGTTCTTTTTCTGGCAAGGAGTTCGTTTGCATCAACACAGTTCACTCGCTGTTGTTTCGGTTTGAGGCTGGATGAAAGTACAGTAGAATGCCAGATTTGAGGCATTCAACTTTAGTAATCGGATTTGAAAACAAACGTAGCTTTGTGTCTATTGAGTAGGTAAATGTTAAGCAGTAGTGTTTTGATAGGCTGTATGTAATGAGTGAATGATGTAGCTTTGTACGAAGTCGAGTAGGTGTCTACAAACTAATAGTCACTTACCATCAGGTGGACTGTTGGTTAGGTTATCAGATAATAATATTGTAAAGTGGCAACATCTCACTGCTGGACATAGGCTTCCTCTCTTTTCTTTACTGTAATGTCCTCCAGACCGAATTTAGGTCACGGCGACCAGCCTCAACGAAGACTAGCCATCTCCGCAGGACAGGATTATAGTGCACGAGAGTATGCACAGGAATAGGTGCACTCTCTATTCTCCCACTCTCATAGTTCGATGGGACGGTAATCCGACACGACCGGAGGGGTCAGGCGTAGAAGCAACGGCTTTAAGTGCTTTCCGAAGTACGAGGGTGAAACACTGCCAAATTCTTGACTCCGGACTACTATTGCTATTGTATTACTATATGCTACTGAGAATTTGACAGAAAACTCGATAATTGATTAACAGTCGGTTATACCACCACTAGACGAACGAGTCACGTTTTTTCCTTTCCATATTATTTGGTAAATTATAGGATAATACTACTGGCTAATACTAATTATATAACTAAACGAACAATAAAGTGACTTGAAGTATGATTGAAATTTCATTCTTACTTTGTGGACGTGTCTCGATACTGTACAAAGCATTTTGCTTCATCGTATTTAGTATACAACGAGGGATTGGATTTCTTTACCTACGTTAGTCTTTCCTGATTACAAAAGTTAAAGACATTTAAAGGCAAGAGTAGATAGGTATTTTTTGGCCTAACGTGTTCTAAGATCCCATCACTTAACATCAGCTAGGATCCTTGCCGAACGTTTTTATATTATACATTCAAATAAAGATACAAATAACTAAGACTATTATAAAGATAATTGATATACGAAAAACTGGGTAGTTATGTTTTTAATGTGAATTCCTTAAATTAACATTGTACAATATTATCTTTTCAGCCCGACCCAATGATAAATGATAACTCTGATGCTGTAGCCGAAAGGGCGAAAGGACTACGTGCTTGGTTGCAGACAGCGCCTTGAAAACTTTCAACTCTTTCACTTGACTGAATATAGTATGTTATCTTTAGTGTAGTAAAACTGCCGAGTATATCTAAAAATCATTATGGTTGTTCAACATATACATAAATACAATTTCCTTTATATATTTACGCTGATATGAGAAATGCCAAATATGACCGAATTACCCTATATCAATAGATTTCGAAAATTCAAAAAAAGATATTTAAAGGACACTATAAAACAAAAATGTATTATCGATGAGGATTTAGAGATTTGACGTAAATTCTATACTGTAAAACTAATTTTATTTTCTGTGGTTGATTCCAGTATTTACTTATTGATTTTTATGATGAATATCTGTTATTTTTTATTATATTACTATATTAGAACAAAATATAGCAAATTATAATTATTACAGTACTTTTGTATTGCATGCTGAAATCTTAAGGTTATACGAAGGTGACATTGAAAGTTTTTAGAAAATCAAAAACTGAACAAACTAGCAAGTTATTAGTTTTATTATATCTTTTCAAAATAGTGTCCATTTACATCAATACATCTCTGCATCCGATGGAACCACAGAGAAAAGCACTTTGCCCACTCGTCCTTAGGGGTCTCTTCGACGGCATTTTGAAACGCAGCCACTGCTTCCTTGGCGTCCATAAAGTTTTTCTTTTATCTTCGAAAATAAATAAAAATCGCAAGGTGCGAGGTCGGAGCTGTAGGGCGGGTGACCCAGTAATTTCACGTCTGACGTCACCAAGTAGTCGAATGTTTGCTTGGCGGTGTGCGACGAGGCGTTGTCGTAGTGAAGGAGGATCCTACTGCGAGGTCGTTTCTTCTGAACTTTTTCCGAGACAAGTGACAAACCACTCTCCAGTGACTGTTTTTCGTTCATCTAAAATAATTGTTGCGTAATGACCTGTCTTTTCGAAGAACGAGTCCACCATCTCTTTTCCCACGCTTCGACCTCTCTTCACTTTAGTTGGCAACTCCTCGGAATGAAACACCCAGACAATCTCTTAGTTTCAAGATCATAACAATAAATCCAGCTTTCGTCACCCGTAAGTATGTCGAACACAGCATTTGAGTCACCTCCGTTAAATCTTTGAACCATTTCACGACATCAATCAACACGAAGGAGTTTTTAGGCCTCTGTCAAATTATGAAGTATCCACCGGGCACAAAGTTGTGATGAAATGTTCATGGAGGATTTTGTGCACTTGACTCATACCGATGCCTAAGCTTGTCCGAATCTGCTGATACGTCACTCTTTTGTCAGTCTTTGTCATACGCTGCACAACACTGATGTTTTCTTCAGTCGTCGCCGTAGAAGGCCGTCCCTCACGCAGATCATCGATGATATCACGTTTAAACTTATTAAACCAGTTGTAAATAGTGACACGAGATGGGGCTTCATCGTGAAAGGCCAATCGAAGTCTATTATAACTTTCTTGTTGGCTTAAATGACATAGAAAATCATTGTACTAAAATTTTGTCGCGATAAATTCATGCTGACGAGACAGACAATTTTCAATTTGCCGCCAAATCGAAAATAAATGACAAATTATACTGAGAAAGAGTTCCATTATCAAAATTTGAACTTATTTTTTTTATTATATCGTTTACAAGTGGCCAGTTTTAAAAACTTTCAATGTCGCCCTCGTACTTAACCTATTTTGAACATTATTGTTCTTTTCAATTTAGACAAATTCTATTGTTATTACTGTTAGATTAGGAAAAGACGGCCTTTTGATCATTCTCGGCGCTTATTAAATATTTTAGTGGAGTTGTGAGAGCGATATACTTAAATGCATGAGTGCTTACAAATCTCCGATGAATCCGTATGTATGATTTCAGACTTTTTTGTAGGAAATTGCATTTTTTATAGGACAAGGGTGTGAAATGAGCACAGTCCACCTGATGGTATGTTATTGCTGTGGCCCATAGACACCTGCATCTAACCTCGAATACGGATCAAAATTCGTATGCGCTGTCACCCGTAAAGACTTAAGATGGAATGCCTCGTTTCCAGTAAAATGGGTCTCCAGTTCTCTGCACTCACTGTACGAAACACTGCAGCGTCTAGCTGTTATTTTACGCTGGTATTCTGGGAAAGCGTGGTCCTTCCCCGGTCGAGCCGACCCATTCGTGCTACAACTATACTACTAATATAACTGCAGCATGGCTCTACCACAGATAAAATTATCCTATTTACATTCCATTACAGCTTAATTTTAATTAATGTTTTAGATAGTCATTCATTATAGATAATCATCATGGATTTTGGTTCTGATCTAAGAAAGTTGACGTTTTATTTAGTTTGTTATATGTTCGTTTTTAATAGTTGTATGTCTAGTCATGGTTGTACTCATTAGATCGTACTAAAAATATATCCTTAAAATTTTATCGACCTAGTGTCTTTAATTCGCACAACTTCTTTTAGAATATTTAAGTACTATTAAATAATTATTATATTTCTCTAATTTGAGAGGACGCCTTTTTCCAGCTGTGGGAAGTATATAGGCTTGTAACTTTATTATAATATATTACTTATTAATATATTGCAAATTACTTAATTTCAAATATCGTAAACAAAGGCCTACAAAAGTTGGAGTTTGGATAACAGAAAAAATAATAGTTTAAAAAAAGGTTTGAAATGTCTCATTAATTATTATTTACATAAATACAACTAACATTTACAGTTATTTTAATATTTTATATGTGCGAATAATATGAGATATGGAATTTGTATAATATTTCACTTTAATTAGAATTTCTATGAAAGTAAAACGGTACTCTAAAAAAACATAAGTAGTTAGAATTTGTCTAGTCAAAGAATTTTTAATGTTCGTCCTACAATTGCAACAGAAGCGCATTCAACAATAACACATTATGGATGTTATGTTACAATTGATATTATTTTAAAACGTATGAGAAATAATTGGATGATGAATTTAATATATTTTAACATAGTTATTTAATGATATTAACGTATTTTATTTCTATTTAAATATTTGTCTGGATTTAAATGTTTACGTGAAGTTATTAAACTACATACTTATTGTTTAGATTTTAAAGTAATATTGCCACTTCCAACTGTTTAATATATAAGAGAACACGTTTTCAATAATATTTACAAATAATGTATTAGAACTTTTTTTTATGAATAACCCAGTTTTTATCTTAGTGTATTTGTAATCTGTGACTTAGTAAATATATTATTATTATTATACAAAACGATATCAAAGAAATGAATATTTTAGTGTTAGTGCGATATACATGTGCGTTTTTAATATGTATTCATTTTATTCGAATATATCAATGATATTTATCAACTGTTTATACTAAATACCTTATCTAACTTCTGTGTATTTTTTTTCATATGAATGTAGTTTTCATAAAGATGTTGCTCTTTAACCATTAAATCCTTACTTAGAGGTATATTTTTAAAATTTTAGGCTGATTTTGAAAAGGCAATGTGGCCTTTTACATAACTATTAAGAAAGATAATATGAATCTCAATTTTGGCGGTATGTTATATATTTTAGTTCGTATAAATGAAATGGTTGTATCGTTTAATTGCGTTTGACAATATGTCACTGATTCAAAAAAAAAATGGAATGATTTTATGCCTTCTTGATTTTAAATCATCTTTTCTGACGCACAATTAGTTATATCTTTTGGCCTTTAACGTTAGGTAAATTTAAATTCGTAGGAATAAAATAAAACGTCTAACTGATAATCGTTTCCTTATTATTTCTAAGTGTTTTATTAAATTGTATTAAAATTCAAGATATTCTAGTTAGAATGGAAGTAACGTCTCTTTTTGACCTGGGATATGTACAAACGGTAACTGAACGGATTGAGAAACATTTGTGTGGGCCTTTGAGCTACTGTTAGAATATCGGGTCCGCCCATTGCAGTTTGGAAGAATGCACTGATAAAGTTGAATTGTTAAAATAAAATAAAAAGTTTCGACTGCAGTGATCTTAAGGGACGTGATGATAATGCTTGATGATGTAATTATAATACGTGAGGTGTTTAGGGGTGGGGGGGGGGGAGGGGGGAGACCCAAAAATAAAATATTTTTTTAAATAAATCCTACGCAATCAAGCACAGATTAACGTATTTAACTAAAAATACGCATTATGAAAAATCACGTGAGATTTGAGGGTGGGGTGAGGGGGGGGGGCATTAGGGGGGGTCGATCCATATCTCACGAAATCTCACCGGGGGAGGGGGGAGGGGGAGGGTAGAACAATCTCCAAAATCGAGTCATGTAATTAATGGAATTTCGAATTTTCCTCGTAAATACATTTGCTAATTAACATCTTTTAATTAGCTAGTTTTAGTCAGGCCATGTTCTACATATATAAATATGTTACTTATATCGATAAAGACTTGTGATGACGTCATAGTCCATTTTACCCGCGCTATTATTATTAATACAAATGGATGAATATTATAAAATTGGTTTAATCCGACTACTACTTTAGAGAGTTAAAGGCGGTCGTAGAAGGGAACATACAATAAAATATTAGGTACCCTCTTTTTAAGTATAGCTGCAGTCGGATAGAATTAGTAGTCAACCAGTTATGGGTATAACTTTGCATTAGCGTGACGTGCATTCTTTTACAACTGTGTAAGTGCGTAGTGTAAGAAAATTATCATTTGAAGGAGGAAGGCACTGTGATAATACATTAGAGTTGTAATAATAATTGTCAAAACCCACGGTCACGTAAGGTTTGTATGAATGCGAATGTAACTGATCCACGAAATAAATCAGACTGCGCTTTATTGTATGGAAAATAACTTAAACTTAAAAGAAACTTCCATACATAATTTTTACTAAGTCTCGAAGATATAAAGCTTTCTATGCTAGTTAATAATTAAAAACTGTATAGAAAATACAATGCATTATTGTTATGTAGACTACTTATTATATATTTTATCGAATTTGATTTTTAAAACCGGAAGAAAACCAAATAAGATTTGGTAATTAATCCTTTGATTATGTATTATTGCAATACAATTAAAAAAATAATTTCATTAATTAAGTATAATATTAATTTTATTTCTTTTAATAAATTAAGTCAGCGGATTTTCTTAATATAATAATAAAATTTGTTTTTATTAATGAAACAAGTTTCACCGTGGAAGTTTGTGTAAAATTAATAAGAGTATGTGTTTACACCCCTCTAAAAAGATCTAGTCATAAAAATAACTGGAGCATTCCTTAGTCGTAATAATTATTAGACATCATCATCTTATTTATTTTTTACGAGAGGTTATTAAATAAAAGATTAATCATATTGCGTCCACAATAATTTTATTATTTACAATCGCATAAATCCTATTATTAATAAGTGATTCCATTAAAAACCTATAAAATCTCGCACATATTGGTAACTAAGCGCTCTACAAAAAATATTACTTAACTTTTCTCTATGTTAACTGTTAGCTAAATTTATTTCGAATTTTAATCATAAAATAATTATGTAGCCATGATAAAATAACAAGACTATATAAATCTACTTTATATTATATAAAAGTAATTCAATATAAATGCCAAAGAAATCTGATTGTAAAAATTCTTTTACACTGCAGTGAAACGAAGCTACTTAAATTAATTTAAAATTATAAAAAGTAACGAAAGTTATGCCTGCATGTTGTCCATACTGCAATTTAAAAGAATTTTTCAAAGAGAAATTTACATCATGTATTTGAATCTTAAGCTGCGGTTACACTAAAGTGGATGCACTTTGATAATTGTTTGCGTAATGCCATATTATATAAATATTTGTTATCAGTGTTAATTATTATATAGAAATGCTTTGTATAAATAGTTTGCGAAAAACGACAAATTTAAAATATAAAAATAATCTAAATATAGGAAACTATGTTAATAATAGGAAATAAGAACGAAAGCCATTTATTATTTTAGTTTCAAAACAGTTATTATAATGAATTCGCCATCCATTCTGTACCTTTGACAAACATAATATATAAGGAACATCTATCAGTCTGCTAGCTATATTTAAAATTAGGCATTAAACTACTCTATCATACTTACTGATGTGGAACGTGGCATTATACTAATATTATAATAATAGTGTAACCGCAGCTTAATAAAAGGATGTTCGCAACAATATTATTGCAAAAATAAAAACTTTAAAGTGTCATTTTGTTTTATTAAGTATCTATTGGCCAAATACTTAAACGCAACTCGATTTGAAGATGTCATTAAGTCATGTCACACGTAGCACAACCACAACCATAACACGTGGGCGGGTGTATTTTGTATTAGAGCGTGAGTGATACCGGCTGCAACGCAACCACATCGACATTTTGTCGCATAACCACAACGCAACTGCAAAAAGCTGCAGCGACACTATTCACACGTGACCATATTTACGGCCTGGCCACGGGGATCGGCGGCGCGAACGCCGAAGCGACATGCGGGGCGACAATTCGCGCAGCGCGATTTGAGGGCCACGGGAAGTCACGTTTGCCGCCGCGACCAGATAGGCCGAGAGTGAATTGTCTTTATCAAAGTTATCTCGATATTGCTTAGAAAGTAATTGTTTTTCGATTCAAGACATAATATTTGGAAGAGATTGCGGAGTACATGATTTGAATAGGAATTGGGTTATAGATGGAGAATTCTACAACAAATAAAATGCACCTACAAAAAAATTTCGAGTAAATACCAAAATGAGTGTCGAAACCTGCGTTTATATTCTTGTTAATATTCAACCAGAATTGGAGATAAAATTCAATGCGGATAGAATTTTAAGTTGTTTTTGTCGGCTCGGCATTTTTCGCGGCGAAAAAAACTAAAATATTTTGTTCCCTATACTATTCGCCGGTTTTCGCCGCGTCTGCCGCCCGACTCCGTGACTTGCACCCACCTTGCACCGTACTGATTTATTGTTCCCCCCGCCAGTCGCCCGCGCGATTCACCCGGTAAATTTCTCGGTCGCGTCGCCACTCGCCGCTACGCGTGGCTTGATTGATACATTTCTATACATTTGTTTTAGTCGCTAGACGCCTCGCCGTTCGCGCCGCGCGAATTTTCGCTACGGCGAATGTCCCGTGGCCAGGCTGTTAGTCGCTGCGATGTGGTGTGGTTGTGGTACGGTGGTGGTCGATCCTTAGTCTCGTGGTGTCACAGTGATAGAGACAGCACGATACTTAACGGCGTGAGTAGCGTTTGTGTGGTATATTAACCATTGTCCATTGTAATATACACGTCACCTATGAAGCATTAGTACGATGGGTACTGCTATAATAGCTTGAATACCTGCAATGAAAGCATTATTGATTTATTATACTGTTGTTCCCTTTTTGGGGTGTAAAAACTTTTAACAAAAAAAAAAAAATTAAACCCCGAAAAAGTTTTTAAAAAAGTTTTAAAACAATAAATGTAAGTGTACCCAAGTATATATTTTATAATTATTATGAGTTTTTAATTAACCTTAACTAAGTTCTTAAACTAATGTAGGTATACCTAAGTAATTTTGAGTTCGCAAGCGACACCAGGATTCCCTGTGTCGTGGAGACCAGTCTTTCCATTAATCTAGAACTTAATGATTACCTGAATTTAAGTATGAGTGGATTTCTCACACACTTAGTTTACGACACAGAAAAAATAATAAAGTTAAACAATAGAAAAACTAACGCATATTTATGAGTTAGGTGTACACTTTTATGTTATATTTAACATTACTACATCGTTGGTCTAGTGGTTGTAGTAGTGAAACTGCTAATCATGAGGTCCTGGGTTCGGTTGGGTCGGGCCAAAAAATCAACTATTGAGATTTTCTTTCAAGAAATTCTCAGTAGCTGTCCGGAGTTAGGAAGTTGGCGGTGTCTCACCCCCGTGCCTCGGAAAACACGTAAAGCCGTTGGTCCTGCGCCTGATCTCTCTCCAGTCGTGTCGGTTTACCGTCCCATCGGATTATGAGAGCTAGGGAAAAGAGAGTGCACCTGTGCTTGCGCATACACTTGGACACTAAAATCCTGTCCTGCGCCGATGGCTATCCTCCGTTGAGGCAGGCCGCCGTAGCCGAAATTCGGTCTGGAGGACATTATTATTATTATATTTAACATTAGTCGCATTTGAATTTCGAATATTTCTATAATATTATACATTTATAGTACAAATTCAGACCGTTTGGAATGACCATTTAATACTTTAACTAGTTAACGTAAATAATTTACTAGATGGTGAAACTTCTTTTTACCTAGGTTTCCAACTATTTTACATATAGCAGTTCTTGCACCTGAAGGTATAACCAGCTGAAGATAACCAGTATTATTACAGGCTGTGAGTCATTACATGTTGGTCCTCAGAAGTGAGGTGAGGTTTCAGGGCTCCGTGGCGTAGTGGCTTACAATAAGTTACAGCGCTAGCGGCCGCGGGTTCGAACCCCCCACGGAACAAGTATTTGTATGGCCTACAAATTATTGTTCCGGGTCTGGATGTTTGTAAACTGCCTCCACGATACAGGAAAGAAAATGCTACTCTGGGGGTAACGGTTAAAAAAAAGGTAAAAACGCATCTGTAGCCCTCTTCGTTTGAAGCTGGCTGCATGTGTTTATGGCCCGAAGTAGCCACTTAATTTCAGGTGGACTGTCAATTTGTGTGTCATTATAGTCTTATAAAAAAGTAAAGGTGGTAGATAAGCGATTAGTCCACCTGATGGATATAATCTTATTCGACAACTAAGATGGAATGTCTCGTTAACAGAAAAAAGGGTCTCCGGATTACTTCATTCATCATACAAAACAGAATGGGTCGGCACGACCGGGGAAGGACCACGTTCTCACAACAGCTTAACGCTGCTGTGTTTCGTATGGTGAGTGTAATGAACCGGAGACCCTTTTTACTGAAAACGGGGGTACAGTACCAGAGTACGAAAACTATCTAACTGTAGAGAAGTGTAAGACAGGGTAATGTTTTAATCCCGTAACACTTCACCACTGCACTGGAAGACGTTTTCAAGCTAATGAACTGAAAAGGATACGGTATTAACACGAATAGTGAGTAAATCACTCATCTTCGATTTAGTCCGACTGACGAATTAGTCCTCATTGCAAAATTTCTGGAGGACCTATACACTATGCTCAATGACCTCAATAGTGTTTCCCAACGGATATCAACATGGACAAAACAAAGATCATGTGCACCCAAGCTCGAAGTTATTGACGAGTATGTTTACCGTGGTTCTTTACTGCTGGCAATTTGAGGACGCTCAAGATCGCTGAGCGAGCTATGGAGAGGGCTATGCTCGGGGTTTCTCTACGTGATAATCTTAGATATGACGATATCCGCAGTAGAGCCAGAGTGACCGAAATAGCACAACGTATTTGTAAGCTGAAGTGACAATTAACGAAGAATCGACAACCGATGGGGAAAAATGGTTCTCGATTGGCAGCCTCGTACCGGTAGGCGAAGTGTAAGGCAATCGCCTACACGCCCCATTAGATGGAGCGACGATATGCTTTGTGGCATTTCTTGGGGAGACCTATGTTCAGCAGTGGACTTGTGAAGGGCTGTAATGATGATGATGGTGAAACCCTATGAAAGTTGCAAAAAATGGTTACCAAACGTATTAGCAGAGTTGTACATTGCCGGTGTCCCTTTTATAAGTGCATTGTGAGAATAAACTTCTGGAGTACATGTTACTGTAGAAGATCGGTCAGATCGAGTAAAGGCCAAAGACGACCATACGTGCCACAGCTTTGTGGTTGCATTCCACAATCTTCCTGTAAAGTCAGCTTGGACCTGTAACAAATGATAAAAACTAGAAAAACCTTGGTCACTTACTCACAAACGGTCTCGTAATTTCCGACAGATGTTTCTTATTTATGTCAGATATAATCAAGTAACTGGTATTAAGTCCGATATTATCAAGTAACTGGCATTAAGTCCGCCCATGCTAACAATTAGTTTTATGCGTTTTTCAATAAGCATTAAATAGATAATTAATATTCTCTTACCTACAACTATGTTATGCTATACCTATGTAAATGTTCTGTCGAAAACATCTCTGACGATTACAAAGAAATTTAAAATAGACGAGGTGAGGTCAAAAAGTTTGCGGAATGACAGGGAAGGATAATGAAATGAAACATTAAACGTTTTTTTTCTTTTCAATGTATTTATTAGATCTGTCAAATAACTTATTTATTAATAAAAATATAGAAAGATCGTCAGTCTAAAGAAAGATTTGTCTCGGGCGTCAAAATAGGCCGATTTCCGACTTCACTTTATCATCGTCGCCAATTTTTTTCCAACGCAATTCTCTCATTATTTTTGGAAATAAGTTATAGTCGCTTGGGACCAGGTCTGAGCTGTAGGGTGAGTGGCGCAGTTGTTCAAAACCGCACCGGTGAATGGCGGCAGTCGCAACATGGCTTGTGTGCATAGGCGCAATGTCGTGCAAGAGTTTATGGGCGAGTTTGAATCCTGGAATGTGGTCAGGTTTTTCTCGTTCTTGGGTTGTCTGGAAGAGATTGCTACATAGCAATAAGACCGCCTTTTGTCTTTCCTTCATTGTTTGTTCACTATTTGTTATATTTATGTTTCGTTGGTGTACAATAAAGAGTATTGTATTGTATTGTATTATAGTCCCCTACAGCTGGACATAAATAATTTACTACAGACTAATGAAATATTATGTTTACTGTTTCACTTACATTTTTATGGCGATGATATCAAAGTTAGGTAAAGTTAAAGTTACAGCCTTTATACGTCCCACTACTGGGCACAGGCCTCCTCTCATTTCTGAGAGGGTTTGTGTTGTGTGTTGATGTGTTGTTGATTTACAAAATATTTCGAACATATGTCTTCGAAATATTTTTTTTCTCATTTCTCAGACATTCAGGTTTGCTCACGGTGTTTTCCTTCACCTCCGTGGTAAATCAGCACTAAAATTTCATTTAACAATTTCATTGGTGCCGGCGGAAAATATATTATTTTTATGTAATAAATCTACAAATTAACAAATATCGGAACATTTTTGGTTATATTTGTGCTACTTAAAGGTTTAGATGAGTTAATTTTTGGGTATCAAAATATGTGACAAAATATACCCGAAGCTTTTGACCGCGTTAACTTACAAGCTTGGATTTATACACCTCCAAGGGACCTTAGACCTGAGTGTTTGATATTTAATTTTAACTTTATACCTCTACCAGTTTCTGCGAAAAAGGATCTTGACAGAATGACAAGCTGACAGACAGGCTACAAATAGGATCGCTAAGGCTTCCGTTGTTTTTATATTAAACTACGGAACTCTAAAAAAGGACGAGACGCCTTGCACTTTGACTAGACAATCTGCTATGCGAGTAAAAGGCTCAGCTGTGGGCAGGTGAGAAGGTAAACTGGGCAAATATTAAAAGAAACAACATTTACCAAATTATTACTTACTATCTTCTCTATAGTAGATATAATGGTGAAAATTCATGAAGAGTGAAAATGTCTTGTTTTCTATTGTATACATTATAGTTCCAGGAGAACCAGTTGCTCGCACTTACTCCACAACCTTCCTTGTATTTGCGTCTTAGTTATTGATCATCGACGAAATAAATTTATATTTTTTTTTCTACGAAGTAAGATGGAATTCCATACTGCCAGTAATTTTATCAACAATTAAAACAAGCGCTGATGAAATATGATATCCAAAAATAGAACGAACTGGTTGTATGGTTGGATAATAAAAGCGTCCGAAAACCCTTGTGTGTTATGTTTAATTACATTGTTCCATCTGATACATTACAGGTAGACGAATTTGTTACGGCCCTTGCTAAAAGCGTTTCGTAAATCTGAATTTTCATCATTATAAAGGTATACGAGTACCTACATCTATTTATTAACGCTAACGTACGCTTTCGTAGAAAATTTAATTTAGAGTATGTATATTGATAAATATTTTTATAGGCCGTGTTGATAAAGGTTGTTTGGGTCTTCATTTTATAACGCAATTAATTTTTTTTAAATATAACGAACTAAACATATAAGAACGTATGTTTTTAAAGATTAAAACTTTATGTAGCACAGGTTCTTAGCGCCGTTCAAACTTCATAGAACGCGAGCGACAGGAGTTTGATACTTGCCGGCGCCAATCAATTTTGTTTTTGTAAGTAACTATTCAGTATTCAGTATTAATTCAGGTTGGCTATAGACGTTCAGTACTTGATTTTAATTATGTTTTCAGTTCAGGGGGCTTGTCTGGGTTAAGCTTGAACCAAATACACTGTTTTTTGATGGCAGAAATGTTTTACAGTATTTTTTGTAACCCATTTTTATCATTGACTTACTTTCTTATTCAACTAAGTAATAATCTTATAGAACATTTTAAAGTTGAATTGTCTACAATTTCAACAATGAACAAATATTATTTCGCCACAACTCTGAGATGCTGAGTGTGAATGACCCGTTTTGGCATGTCTTGACGCACAAATCCAAATATATATAAAATGTTCGTATCTTGCTTATAAATTTGTATATTGTTGAACGTCAATGATTGGCGCCAAAATAAAATCAATTTTCGTTCCTTCCCGCTGTTTCGACACTATGGTGACAACTTCCAATCATTGCACCCTTTCCTAACTGACGGTACCAATTTGTACCGGGTGATTTCCCGTCCATTATTTCGACAATACGATCCCGCATTACGTGTTTGACACTGACGATGACGATCCTTTCGAATACCACTACGCTAGCCAATCACAGTGATTTATTTCCATTTTGCCTACTTACACCCAGCAAGTAACACTTTCAAGTTTCAACCTGTTTCGAATTTGAGAACTGCGGATTGCTTTTGTTTTAGAAAACATTTAAAAATAGATTAAACGGGGTAAGTGTTATTGTTTTAGATTAATATATTTAATTGTAGTTTTAACTATAGTTACAATTAACATCGTTTTAGAACATTGAGCTATTATGTACTACGTACTAGAGGCGACACTGCATTCAGCTACTCTGTTCCACTCAACTGCGGTGCATACACCGCACTTTAATCAGTCACTCGCTAGGCGCTTGTAGAGTTGTCACATGTTGTGTTAATTTAAAAAAATCTCTTGATAAAAATATGCCGTCGTGTGTACTTAGATATTGCAGTAAAACTGCAACTGCAGAAATGTCTAAAATGTGGTTAAATAGGTAAATTATATCGAGAACAATTTTCAAATTTTGTCATTTATTCGTATATTATATTTGCTTATTTAATATAATATTACATAATATTATATCACAATTACATTTTAATAATATTTTTATCTGAATATTTTAAAAGGTATCTATGTCAAATATAAAAAAACATACTAAGTGTATCTTTAACAAAACTTATTGACATAACATTTAAATTACAAATATATTAATTTAAATTAGAATCAGAGTCGTTCATAAATGTCGGGCACGCGAGAGTTAAAAATGGAGGAATTTATTCCACTTTGACTTTGATGTGGAAACCTAAAAATGAAATAAAAGAATAATAAGCAGATTTAAACGTGAAAAATTTAGTCTAATTATAATAACTTGTATATGTTTCTACAAAAAAATGTGTATAATAACATATTCGTCCTATAGTTAAGTACTTACAGAAATGTCGCATCTGAACATATTAATTTCATAATCTACATTCCATGACACGAGATGGCGTCGGAATAATTTGTTTTATTATTAATTTATAATACTTTTTTTATTGATTATGTATGTTATTAACCGATGGATAGTAATTCCTTAGTTTTTACTGACATTTCTGCAGTTGCAGTTTTACTGCAATATCTAAGTACACACGACGGCATATTTTTATCAAGAGATTTTTCTAAATCAACACAACATGTGACAACTCTACAAGCGCCTAGCGAGTGACTGATTAAAGTGCGGTGTATGCACCAATAATTTAACAATACATTACTATTACCTACTAATCATTCTACCTATGTTTATTCTATGATACAAAAAAACAATCGCGCGAACACAGAGTAGCGCACATTTTTTGTTTGAGATAGCTGTTCTAGTACGTAAGTACATATTACTTCAATGTTTTAGAATATAATTTTAAATTTTAGTGCTACAATAACGATAAAAATGTACAAGAACTTATAAGTACCGTCAGTGACTGGTTGATTTTTAGATCTAATATATTTGCTTATCTTATATTACAGATATTTATAATGAATATTTCAAAGAGTACGTAATACTTGATGGAAGATCTTCCAGACTGTTCCGTAACTTCAGATGTTGAACTGTCTGACGGAGAAAACATTCCCGAAGAACAACGACCCTCAACTAGCAATTTTGATGAAAATTTTGAGGCAGCATTAGAAAAATCTTGAACGAATTAATTCGTTCAAGAGAAAAAATATATTTTTCTGCTGGCTGAACCTATACAACTGAGGCAGGGTCTGTGGAAAACAAGAGGAATGTATATCTTTCCCAACACTGTTCCAGATAATTTACACACTGAGGAAACCGTTACATCGACACACCCAAAATCCAAAAAAATACTAATCGTAAATGGAAGGAACGCGATGTAAAAAACTAGAATATTCTGCAAACACCCCCCGTGTTTGCAGAATAGTAAATTATAGAATAATATAGTTGACGAATATTTTGCTCATATTTTGCACTGCGCCAACTGATATTTTTTAGTCTTGATTAGTGATGTACTGGATAATATTGTGTTTCTAAGTTGCTTATATGAAACACAAAATGATAAAATTCTGAACCTGAAAAAAGAAGCATGGTGAAGCTACAGTATCGCGCAAAGGAAAAAA